GCTGCAGGGGAACAGCTGCTAGCCCCAGGAGAGGGCAGAGGGATCCAATGAGGCCTGCAGCTGGCTTTTGATCTCCGAGTTTGTTTAATGAAGCTCATGTTTGAAAGCTTGGGAGAAAAGCATCAGCCTCGCCTGCTTCTGCTCTGCTCTAGTCTTTGATCCACGGGTTTCTGAGACCAAAGATGAGTTCCCAAGACATCCTGGTAGATCCCTGGCCTTGGTACACGATCTCCTGCCTCATGCTATTATACTCCAAGCATGGGCCCTTCTTCTGCTGCAGAGAGTCTCAGTCTCCTAGAAACTGGTTGACTTTTCCTAAGGATACATGGGCAAGCGTCTATTAACTCCAGATAAAGCACCAACTACAGACCAAAGGAACTACTCCATCCAAGTCTAGCTTCATTAACAAGTGATCACTTACAGAAGTGTAAGTGAAGGCCGCTTGCAGGACCAGGGTGATGCAAATGCACCTACATTACAAAAAAAAGCCCTTCAACATGGCAACTCACACAGGAGTGCTGCACCTAGAGAGAGCACTGCACCGGTTGCAGACAGCTTCGTGGGAGAGTCTCCTCAACCCAGCAGCTGTTGCTTGTGTAGCCTTGGACAGGGCCTTATGGACCTGAAAGCATTCTGAGCTTCCTGGGCTTGAAAAGTGGCATGTGCTTCTCTCTTCACTCCAGGAGAGAATGTTTCAGGACAGAGGAAGTGGGTCCCAGGCTTAAGGCTTCCTCAGTAGCTGACCATGCTGCCTGAATAGTGAACAGTGAGAAGGGACTGGCCCCATCTGACTTATCTTACTCTGGTATGGTGACCATAGTCATTCAGGGCATCACCAGCGCTGGCTGCCGTGGACTCCATTCTATCTTCTCAACACTTATGCCTGAAGTTCTCTCTCCGCCTTGGTACCCAGGGAGGCCCAGGCCTTTTGCTCACCACTCAGCAACAACAAGATTCTGTGAGAGCAAATGTGCACAGTAAGACTCAGCCTATCAGGTTTGGTTATTGCCACTTTCTCCTCCTCCTCCTCCTCTCAGCTGTGACCCCCCTCAAACAGCTTCCTCTTATGAAATGAGGATCAGACTACCTGCTCCAAGGATCAAGCAAACCAGATAAGAAGACAACCCTCTGTTGGTTCCTGCAAGGCCGGCCCAACTTACCCAAGCTGTATTAGTCAAAATTCTCTAGACTCTAGAGCAGTGGTTCTCAATCTTCCTGATGTTGCAACCCTTTAATTCCCTTTAATACAGGTCCTTATGTTATGGTTTCTCCCAACCATAAAGTTATTTCATTGCTACTTCATAACTGTAATTTTTCTACTGTTATGAATTGTAATGTGAATATCTGATATGTAGGATATCTGATTTATGACCCCAAAGGAGTCGCAACCCATAGGTTGAAAACCAGAGCTCTGGAGTCTCATATATAAATATATATATTATACATACATACATACATACATGTACATTCTGTCAGTTCTTGTCCTATTATATATATGTGTGTGTGTAAATAAATATAGATATATGATTTTACTTAGATTTATTAGAGTAACTTACAGGATTGGTCCTGCTAGTCCAACAAAGGCTGCCTTACCAACAGAAAGTCCAAGAATCTAGTAATTGTTCAGTCCACGAGGCTGTCTCAGCTGGTCTTCAGTATGCAGTGGAAATCCAAAGAAGTAGGGTCTAATGCCAGTGAAGAAATAGGCTTTCCAAAAGAGAGTAAGGACTATCAGGTGAGAGAGAGAGAGAGAGAGAGATATTCATTCTTATGGGTCCTTTATATAGGCTGCCAGCAAAAGACATGGCCCAGATTAAAAGTGGATCTTCACACAGCAAAAGATCCAAGTTGAAAATTGGGTCTTCAATTTCTTAGGTATGCCAGCTGCTTGAATTTGAGTTAATTCTAGGCGCCATCAGGTTGTCAACCAAGAGTAACCACCAGAAGTTCCCTCCATGTCAACACTTAGTTTCCAAAGGAAGACAATGACCAGTTCGTAAGTAGACCTAGCATGATAAAACTACCCCACATACAATACATTATATATTTAACTGGGTCATAATTACGTCTAACATGATAAAACTATCCTGCGTATAACCGCAAATGCGTTATCAATTTTAGAACAGGTGGCGATGTCCCTTGAGGGACATCTTTGCCATTCACGAGAAAGGCAGTCACAGTGCAACAAGACAAGCTGGTCTACAGAGTTTGACACAGGGAGCGGAGGGGGACCTGGAGGGAGATGACACCGAGCATGTGCCTGGGTTTGTCATAAAGTCACACTATGAGGTGGATGAGATGCGTGGATATCTGGTGACTAACTCTGCCTGCCCTTCCATGTACCTAGACAAGGTCAAACAGGTCAGGAAGTTGGGGTGACCCAGAAACTTTATATGGCATGCTCCTGCTCCGGATGCAGAAGGACAAGTTCCCACAGGCAGACTGAATAGCTGACGGAAGCCCTGGGGTCCCAGCCACCCCTGAGCCACAGTGTGTGTCAGGAAGAGCCCACTGCTCATGTCTGCTTTCCCGTAAATAGGAACACCCCTCTTGTCTCAGAGAGTAACCCTAAAAAAAACTCAGAGAGGCTATAGCCAAGACTCAAGGACCTGCAGGCACCAAAACACAATGTCTGTTGTCTGCCAAGAGAACGGGGAAGAAGACAGGCTGGGCGCCCACCTGGTTGAAAGTCTGGAGGGTACAGGCTTGGACCATAAAGTATTCAGGAAGGATATGCTAGGCTCAGTGCTCAGTGTGATGTCTGGTACAGTTGGGTACCACGGCAGCTGGAGCGAGCCAGCAGGCTGCAGAAAGCATATGTGCCTGTATTCAAGCCATGCAGAAGAGCCTGTGATCCACACACATGGCCATGGTGAGAATGTACCCAGAGAAGATGCACACAGTGTCATGTGGTGTCCTGTGCCATCTAGCTATATACATGGTGTTTCCCTTCTGATGACATCAAACCCACACGGGAAGGGGCTGAGTGGACATTTGTCCACACTGAAGACGTGTAGCTATCAGAACTAGAGAAGAGTGCGTGTCTTGGTAGGAGTTAAGGGGCTGAGTGGACATTTGTCCACACTGAAGACGTGTAGCTATCAGAACTAGAGAAGAGTGCGTGTCTTGGTAGGAGTTAAGGTGCCTCTAGTGCTCATCCTACTCAGCTGAGGAGAGCCCCACCTCAGGAAACTGTCCAGCCCCACATGTCAAACCCTCTCAGGCACATTGCTCTTTTCACTGAGTGACTTTCCATGAACACCTGCCCCAGACATCCTACCATCTTCACACAGCTTGCTCTGATGATCAGGACTTCTATGTGGCTCTCTCTCTGCCCCAGGCCTAGGTTGCCCCATTCAGCGAACAGCTGTTGAGTCTCTTATCCTGGGAGGGGGTGACTTTAGGATCCTGTTCCCGGGCCCCAGTTCAGTCCCCCAAGGCTGCTCTGAGCGGGAAGGGGGGTGACAGAATGTCCCACCCTCTTGTTTCCTTGATTTTTCCCCTCTCATCAGCCTGAAATCTGTTGTCCTGACCCCCCCAAACACACACACATAAATACAACCCTCTCCTCTGAGCTTTCCTGTTTGTTGGGTCTGAGACTTGTACTTCCACGACCTTGTATTGAGGATCTCAATGGGCTTCCTCCCCCAAGCCTTGACCTTTGACCTTGACCCTTGACCTGCTTTTCTATGAAATGGGCTGGCGAGATAGAACCCTGGCAGTGCCGTACGTGACTGTCCTCAAAAATGAGATCGGGGGAATTTGGTAATTCATAAAACGGTATGAATGGTTCAGGAGTTAAGCGGCCACAGGAAGTCACAGATCATTTCTCCGTGAGAAGCCAGTGGTGAGAGGGTGCTCTGTGATCTGTGTCTGGCACACGGAGGAGGCCTATCATCTCCACGTTCTGAGTGTTCCCATGAGGCTGGGTGAAACTGAGATTTGGCTCTCTGTCTCTGAGCTGCTCAAGTCAGGACCAAAGCTACCTAGACTCAGTTTCCTCAGAAGGCTGTGGCCAAACCACCCAGTGGGAACGAACCTCCTATTCCCCTCCTCTGTCTTCCCACAGTGAGCTACCAGGTGCCTGGTACTTCTTTTACTACTGGCACAAGATTCCTGCCTCTACCTCTCAAGTGCTGGGATTAAAGGCGTGCGCCACCACTGCCCGGCAACAGGTTTTTATATCATTATTTACTAGGACCTGCACTACAGTCCAGTGCCTCATCTGACCACGATGTCCCGTCCATTCCAGCCTGAATGTGAGGCTCCTCCATAACCTAGCTGAATTCCATTTTCAGACCTCTGCGCAGCAGGGTTTCACCGTGCACTGTTGTGGACAGGACACCCGTTAGCACACCCGAACTAGACTTTCCAGGCAGGTGAAGTACTGATGGGTGAGTCCATCATTCCTCCTGCTCCTGAGTCCTCACTCTCAGAATAGACACAGAGCTTTGGACCAGGCCAGGAGGAGTCTTGAAGACTTTCACACTGAAAACAACTCGTGGCTAGGGTGAGCCTGCACCTTCGTGCCCCGCCCCCCCCCGCCCCAACACACACACACACACACACACACACACACACACACGAAGGAGTTTGTTGGGCAACAGTGCAGAGGTGTCTGTCCCACCAGAGGATTCAGAGCAGGGACAGGAGCCAGGCTGAAAGCTATTGTACGTGGACTATGGTTGCTAATTCTTCTTTTAATAGCGGCCCGGGACAGACTCCTTGGCAGGTTTGTCCAGTAGCCACCTCGCTGCTCTCTGCTACCAGAAAGCAGTGTCATCGCCCCTTTAAGAAGGGGTCTGGCGCCTCTTCTCCGGACAGCTTGAAGCCCCTAAGGGCTACAGTACTAGGGGTGTGTGAGTGAAGACTGATGCCGTGCAGCTGTTACCCAGAGCCTGGGGAGGGGGAGAGGGTGGGGTCTGAAGAGCGGGCGGGCAGGGGCGGGATCTAAGAGGAAGAGGGCAGACTGGGCTGGGGTCTGCTAGGCTTACCCGAGGCAAGCTGGGACGGAATCCCTAGGAGGCGGCGTCCGCCAGGCAAGGAGGGGCGGGGGCACCGTGGACCGAAGCTTTCGCACACGGCGGGCTCCGGCCCACTCTAGCAGCAAAGGCGCCCGCGGGAGGCGTGAATACCATGGGCTCTTGCTCCGGCCGCTGCACGCTTCTTGCGCTCTGCGCTCTTCAGTTGGTGAGTCCTGGTGTTCTGCTTGGCTCTCCGGACCCGCACCAACCTCGGGAGGCTCCTGGGATAATCTTGGATTTGGTCGATTTTCCCGGCTGACAGGCATGCTAGGGGAGCAGCCACCGTGCTGGACCTCGGCTGTGCCCTGCTATGTTTGCTCGGGAAGCGGTGTCCCGGTTGGTGGGACAGGTGCTGGGGAGCTTCTGGGGGCCCTGGCTGCTAGGAACAAAAGCCTTCGGGCGGGGCTGTCCCCGAAGCTGCACTCAGGTCCGGAGTCTGTGGTCCGGGGAGCGTGGTCCGTAGTCCGTGGTCCCCTTGATGCCCACACGCTCCGAAGGTGCCTGTGGTCAAGAGTTTGCGTGTTACCGTAGTGGCACCAGTGGCGGAGCCCGCAGCAAAGTTTAGTCAGTGCCTGAGTGTGGACATTAGAGTTCGGTGTGCGGGAGAATGTGATCGCCTGGCACTCCCAGCTTGTGCGTGGGCCTGTTTGTTTGGGGTCTCCCAATCTCCCTGACCTGTAGAGGGAAGAGGCTCTCAGGCCCGGGTGCCTAGGGTTGAGCCCACTGACTCCCTAGGTGAAGAGCCCGTCAGAGAACTTGGACGACAGCAAGCAACTTTGCATCTCTCGCTGAGCTTGGAGCCTGGGATGTGAGTTCTGGAGCTGCTGGAGGAAAGGTCTAAGACAAAGGTCGCTGGGGAAACTCCTTTGCGTAGATGCTAATTAGCCCTGGGTGTCTGGTATTAAGAAGGAAATGCAGCTTTGTTGTCTCTGGGTTGGGTGTGGACCTGGACCCAGCTGGACTGGGTGCCTCCTCCACTGGCTGAAGCTGGAGGGTTTTTTTCAAAGGCGCTTTAAGGCTGTTTGGTGTCTTGTCCCCTCAGCAGCACAGAGTTTTGTACTTCCAGGGGCCACCAGGCATAATGTGGGATTGCAGGGAAGTCCATGGTCCAGGTATTTACTGACCTGTAGGTTTCGACTGGGCAGGTCAAACTTGAAAGAACTGCTTCCAGCTTGGAGCAGTGTTGAGCTGCTGTCTTTCTGTGAGGTGCTCCCTCCAGAGGCTCCTGGGAAGAAAGAGTCCTTTACCTGGTCAGTCCTGCAGAATGACCAGCTAAAGGATAGGATGAGCTGGCTGACTCTGAAGTTTGGAGCCTGCCCTATTATGGTAGTCAAGAAACACAGCAGCTTTGGGGGACAGAGGTGACTTTGGTTTTCCTGTTCTGGATTTGGCAGGATAGTGTTCTCCGACATATGGTGCGAGAAGTAGGTGCCCCTCCCGCCTCCAGTTCAGGGATGTGGTCCTGTGATGCAAGGGGATATGGTCAGGGCCTGTTCCTGCTTTTTAGACTTCTTCTAGATACAGGTGTAGGTCTAGGACGGACTTTGGGAATTTAGCTGCAAGTAAGGGGGGAGGGTCGTTTTGGTGCTCGGGTTGCAGGGTTACCCTGGGCAGGGCTTCTCCCAAACTCAGACTCAGCCAAGACAAGGCCCCAAGGACTCTTTGGCGCTGCACTGAGCCCTGTGTACCCTTGCTTTGTCCAACAGGGCCACAGCTGAAATGCCCCCAGGGAGCTGTCAAGGGTCTTTTGTCCTGCTCTGGCTGGCAGTTGGGGGCGGGCTACCCTCCTGGGCCTCTGGGAGGAACAGGCCCAATGCCACCCACTGCTCTGGCCTCTGCGTGGCATTGAGAGCAGAGGAAGCTGGGAGCAGCCGAGGGGTCCTGAGGCTTGCCCTTTTTTGACAAGCGTGAGAGTTTTCTTGTTACCAAGCTACCAGACAAAGGACCTAAACAACTCTCCCTGAAGAACAGCAGGAACTCTGTCGGCTCTGAGCCAGCACTGTGCTGAGACTGTTCCCAGACCTCCTTGCAATGACAAGACAGGACTCAGCCCCACGAAGGGGTCTGCAGCTAGATTCTGCAGGGCCACTGGCTCTAAATCACCAACCTCCATGCAATGGGAGACTCATCTGTAGCCACAGTGCTTTTGGGCGTGTTAGCTCAGAAATGTGAGGATGCAAAGGTTTCCGTTCCTGAGACAACCAGGGGCTACTCTTCAGACTGAGGACCTCCAGACAAGTGCAGCTGATCCAGCCTCCTGCTGGAGCCTCACTGCGCAGGGCCTTGGGTTTCTTAGTGGACCAAGGGGGCCATCTTCTCCTCCACTTTCTTTTTCTCACTGGGCAGGATGATAACCAGTCAGACCTAGTCATTCATTCAGATGCTGACCTCTGTCCCCTGTTGCTGGGTATTTTTTTCTTTTTTTCCCCCAGATTTGTAGTTTTATGTTCAGGCTCTCCAGGAACTAAGGGCCTGCTGGGAAGGGGACATCTGGGCTCTGAGGTTTGAGATCCATTGTGTATCCTGCATTTTCATGTTGTATGTAGGAAGACTTTGGTTAGCACCTCTCACAGTTGATTGGAACACATACGCAAGCAGACCACCATGTGACTCCTTAGGACAAGTGCATTGTGGGGGAGGGGAAACGCTACCACTGCCTGCCTTGGCCCAGGGCAGGAGCTTCAGGTTGCCTGTGTCATGCAGGTGTGGGGTCCTGCGTAAAGGAAGGATATTCCTGCCCCAGAAGATGAGAGAATACACCAGGGTCTGACCTGATGGATGGAGGAAGGAGGGGTGAAGGTGGATGGTTGTCTGAGTGAGAGGCTTGGTCTACAAGGCTGGGTGCTGTTAGAGCCTCATCCTGAGGGTCAGGAGCAGTCTGTGGCTGGGGCTCCACCAACACCTTCCATCTTGAATGTTCAGACAGGCCTCTGCTGTAATGTTTTATGGAGTCGGGATGGACAGCCATTTGGTGCCTCTTTCAGGGGGATTTTCATTGTCAGCCGTTCTGTAGGAGCCTGACTCTTCTTGTAAAATGAAAGCAGTAGAGGAACTGTGCAGCCAGGGTTTGTCATGGCAAATCTTTCAATGCTGAGAGCCCTAAGTGCCTTCCCAACAGTTTCACACTAGGAACTCAGCAGTGAGCTAGAGGTACAGATTAGTGGTTGAGTGCTTGCCTAGCATGTGTGAGGTCCTGGGTCTGCTTCCAAAGCTGGGAACACACACACACACACACACACACACACACACACACCACCCCACCCCACACCACACACAGCTTGGAAGAGTTGGAAGCATGCCCCTCCTTCTGTTTCCTGTCCCCACTGACGCTCAGAGACGTCACAGATGTGTGCCGCTTTCTGTGGCCTTCTAGGAAGCTGAAGGTAGAAAGGGATGCAAAGTGGGGAGCTGCAATCCCCAGGCCATTTCTTACCCATCTGGGTGCCCCAAGGTGGCCTCTGACATAACCTCGAACTGAAGTTTAGAATCTAGACATGTCCCTGGTCACAGATCCAGAGCCTAAATCGTTCCTGGGATCTCTGACAGGTGAAGTGGGGAGGGACAGGAATTTCCGTGGTGGCAGACTGACCCCAGAGGTATCTTTTAGGATTGCTGGAGCTGTCACTTTCCCGGGGTCACAGCAGCTCTGTAGACTTCCTTGTGGTGCAAGGTACTGGTTACGCGGTGGGCAAAAATCATACAGGCTGTGTAGCATTGTGGCCCTCTTCAGAAGGTTGCACTGGTGGGCATCAGTCATCCTGCAAGTTTATTGAGGCCTCAATGTGCTGCACTTGACTGCTGTGCTTGGCTTGTGCTCCGCATCAGGAGCACAGTAGGGAGGGCCAGCAAGGGCGGGGCATGCAACGGAAAGGAGTTGGCTGGGATCTAGATGGGCAGGGAGAGAGGAGGATAAGAATGAGTTCTCAGATCAGTGGGGAAGAAGGGACCAAACTCTGGTTGGAAGACTTGGAGAAGCAGACCGCTGTGGTCAGGGTCATGCTAGCACCCTAGGTCTGCTGAACCAGGACAGCTGTGACAGCTCGGAGAGTAACTGCTCATTTTAGATAACAGAGGGAGAAGCTGATAAAGGGTTGACCATGGCTAAGACACCAGGTAAATAATACTGGGGATTCTGGGCATAAGGGTTGCAGCGGCGTGAGGTACAGGTATGCTCCCAACCGTGGGATCTGAGGTCTTAAACTTAACCTGATCATTGAAACTCATCTTTCAGAGACTCTAGGTGAGGGCTAGGCAGGGCTGAGACTGTTTTGGAGATTTAACCACTCCTTGGGAAGGGCCTCCAGTGCCTGCTCTCCTCCTGTTTGCAAGAGAATGGCATGCTGGGTAACTCCCTTCTGGAATACCCTCCTCATTCCCTGCTCAGGGAAGAGGCTGTGGCTGACAGTCCCGATGCTGCTAAGCACCCCAACCCCTACCCTGTGACCCCACATTCCAGGCCCAGAGCCACCAGGGTGCGTCTGAGCTGGAGGAGGAGCAGGTTCTGAAGGAATTTGGCAGATTACAGAAAGAATCTCCCTTGAAAGAAAGTTATAAAATCACCCCCACAGGACAGCAAGTCTGGGAATAGCAGGGCAAGAAGCCTTGTGGGCTTTCGGTGCTGACCGGATCTGGCTTTTGGCTTCTTCCTGCCTGCAGCTCCATCACACACACATGCACACACCTGCAAGTGGACGTATGTACACTTGCCTCTGTATTTTGTACAGATATGGAACCCACATGTGGCCCAATTTGCCTATATTCCAGGCATTCACTGGTTAATTCTGGGGACAAAGCATCTCTGGAGAAATGGCCTGGACTGGAAACTCGGGATTCAGAGAGCCATTGGAATGGATCCCGAGGGACTGTTTCTGCCATGTATTGGAAATGCAGGGAGGCTGAGGAGGTGGGGCCTCATCGCTCCTATCTGCTATTACAGCCCTGGGCCTGAGCATTCATTAGTCCTACAGGACATACTTTCTGTGGGAGAAGAGCAGCCCAGAAACCCTTTTGGCAGCCACAGAAATTCTTCTAGATTCAAACTGAGAACAGAAGAGACCTGGACCATCTCTAGAAGAAATGTAAAAGGCAAATCCCCACTACAAGCATTTGTGACTGCACAGCCAACCACAATGAAGTAGTCAAGGCCTGGCCGGGGTGGTTGTCACCTCAATCATAAGTCCCACTTCAGATGTGGTTCCTACTGAGTGTTGGCATTTGTTGACCCCTGAGCTCTAAAGCCTTCTAGGGAAGACAGCGTGGCTGCCCTGAGACTGTCTTCTCACTGGGTTGTGAGCTACTGTCCTGTCCACTCTAGGTCTTAAGAACCTGGTCAGAACCAACCCGTAGCTGACTTTCCTATCTAAGGCTTCTGGGCTGTTGCTCCTCTGGTGACCCTGGGGTGCACACTGGCTCCTGAGGCCCAAGGTATCTTGGGAAGGTACAAGTGTCCCAGGCAATGTGACTTCCTCGGGTCTTTTCTTCCATTCACGTGGAATTAGTTTATGTTTGAAAGAGGGGTTTTAGGGTGGTGCTCACCCATTCTCTGGGGGGAACAGAAGCCCCACTTGCTTCTTCTGCCTACGACTTCATTCCCTCTTATTAGTGAGGTTGTAAGGAAGGATCCAGATGGCTTGATTATGAGGCCAGACCATGAGGATGCAGGCCAGGTGACTTACCTGAGGCGTTAGTTGTTTTCCTCGTGGCTGTGACAGAATAGTTAACATGAACAACTTCAGGGAATAATGGTTTTATTTTGGTTCTTGGCGTCAGAGTTCAGTTCATAGCTGGTAAGTTATGGCACATGACTGGCTCCCTTTGGTGGCAAGAGAGTGTCACAATAGCTGTTTACATGTCTCTGGTCAGGAAACAAAACACCTGGGAACCAAGGCTGAGCACAACCGTCAGAGTCCTGACCCTGGTGGCCCCCTTGTAACAGTTAGATCTGACCCCCTGAAGGTTCCACTGCCTCCTAAAACAGTGTCAACAGTTGGGGGATGGACATCCTGACAGGAGCCTGTGGGGGGACTTTCAGGTTCATCCCTAACACCTTGTCCACTGGCTGTCTCTGCCTGTGCTGTTTTCCTGAATTCCTTGAAAGTCACACAGTCCTGTTTCTTTGCTCTTCGGCATGCATGTCTTGCATAGTCCCAGCGCTGTCTCAGCATTAAGACTGCCCAATGCTTACCACAGGGCTCTAATGAGAAGGTGGCCACTCCCGAGCTGTCCTTCTTGTTTTGGGCCTCTAAGACTGGCCGCAGTGTCTGCTGTGGACAGTGGGTAACCACAGCATCTGACATGCCTATGTGGGAACAACACGTATGAGCTGCAGCTGTCCTTACTATGCAGGCCAAGCAGGCTCTGGTACTGCTGCTTACATACGTGATCAGGAAAGGACTAGCCAGGGTGAGCAGTTCTTGAGGCTCAGGGAGACCCCGGGACTAGCCACATTTACATCACCCCAGTATCAGACCCCGCTTGTCTCCTGCAGGCAGAGTAAACTCCTAACCAACCCTGGAAGGATTCTTGACATATTCCAATAAGAAGAGTATCCTGGTTGAAACACCAACTCCCAATTCCTTAGAGATGATGTAGTTCCAAGACAGACAAATGATTCCTTGTAAAAATAAGCAGAGCTCCTGCAGAGCTCTCCAGCAAGCCCTCCATGCACATCTTCCATGTGAAAGGCATGTGAATGAAGAGGCAGGAGCCACCAGGTAAATCAACTGTGTCTGCTCATGGAGAGTTAGTGATGACCCATCCTCTTTCTCCACGTACACAGCCCGTGAGGCCTGACTAGGAGCTAAAAGTTTGGCCAAGCAGCTCTCTGTCTACACTGTGAAAGGCCAGAGATAAGAGCTGATCTTTGAGAATTGACAGCCCATAAGGAACTGCTCCAACCTCCATATGCATCATTAAGGGATTTACTCCTATATAGGGAGGCACCTTCTCCAGGAGGCTGGCATCATGGAGGAACTAGCATGAGGAAGGGGCTTTGGAGGTGGGAACCTGGCTAGCAGAGGCTTCCTCCACCAACCGTTGCAGTCATGAGACATGGTGGAGACCCACTAGGGGCCAGCAGGTGTGAATCCTTTGTGACAGGAAGAGGGCGTGTGCTAACACTTTGACAGATGAGGGCCATGCATTGACTGTCAGTATTCTGTGACAGGGAGGGGCAACAGTGGATGAGTGACAGAAGTAGGGACCACTGGTGTGAGCAGTCTGGTGAGATGGGGCAGAGGCTATGAACTCTCAGTACTTGGGGAGGGGATGGGTTTGGGAACTCTGTGAATGGGCAGGGGGCAGTGAGTGTGAGCAGCTTGTGGCTTTCTGCGGGGTCCTTACTAATGAATTCTGCTGGGCCGTTCTTGGTGTTGATACAAAGTCTGCCCTTACCTCTCCACTTAGTAGCCCAAGCCAGCCTTCGCCCAGAGAACCCCAGACTTCTGCAGAGCGTGCTTGCTAGCAACCCTCTTTTGAGACGTCTTTGGACATCATCACCGCTCCTGAGTCACTCATAGCTGCCAGGGTAATGCCAGAGCACGCCCAATTGCAGGTGTTTCCTGGGTGTTAACAGAAGACTTTGGGGATCAGTCCCATCATACAGAGCTCCAAGCAGCAGGGAGGAACCTGAGTACTGGCTTTCATTGAAGTCAGCATCTGTGGGCAAGCAACCTGGTGGCCAAACTACTCAACTCAAACCTGACACAATGGCAGGAGGTCTTGTGGGTTTGGAAGCGGCGTGTGTTCCCAGTTACAGTCTCAATGTTGCCTTTTCATCTCAGTGCATCCAGCCTTGGGGAGGGCCTTCATCACTGTGTGCAACTGTCTTACGGTTTCTATTGCTGTGATGAAACACTGTGATCATAAAAAAAACCCAGGGAGAAACGTTTATCTCAGTTTACAATTCTCAGGCCATACTCCAACACTGAGGGACATCAGAGCAATAACTCAAACAGGGCAGGAATCTGGAGGCTGGAACAGAGGCAGAGGCCGTGAAGGATTGTGGCTTACTGACTTGCTCCCCATGGCTTGTCACCCAGGACCACCAGCCCAGGGTGGCCACCTACAGTGAGCTAGCCCCTCCCACACCAAACATCAGTTGAGAAGATGCACCACAGGCTTGCTCACAGGCTGGACTGGTGGGGATGTTTTCTCACTTGAAGTTCCCTTTTCTCTATACACTCTGGCTTGTGTCTAGTCAGCAGAAAAATAGCCAGAACAAGACTGGTTTCTCTCTCTCACACCAGAAGCCACTCTAGGTCAGAGACTGCCTCAGCAATTCCAGGGCTGACCTGGTTGCTGATACACAGGGGTTCAGTGGTATCCTGTGAATGTCATGGGCTCCAATCCACTGCAATGTCCCTTTAACACGGATTCTCTTTCAGAATGTAGTCATCCTAAACACAGTGGCTCCAGAGGAAAGTGCTGGAACCTGGTGGACTTAGCCATACTTTCTCTTCCTTCACCTACACCAGCACATGGGATGGAGTCCATTAGAGGATGGATTGGTGGGTGGTGAATGAAGGGTGGGCAGACAGAGAAAGGGATGGAAGCGGGGGAAAAATGTGTAGGTAGATGAAGGGATGGGCAGATGAATGGATGATGATATGTGAATGGATTGATGATAAATGGTGGGCGGACAGACGAGCAGGTGGGTAGATTCTTTAGAGTATTGATTCGCCTCGGCATAAGTCTGTTTTCCCCAAGTATAAAACATGTTCACTATATACCATGCATCCTTTCCCATCAATCTCCCTGTCTTCTTGCATGGAGAGTAGTGTCTTCAGAGCTACCACCTCTCACTAGAGTCCTTAGAATAGAAGTGTGACCAGTCTATCGGGATAAGAGCTCTCTTATTCCACAACAGTCCCGGACAACCATAGGAAAATCACTTTACTGGGAGACAGGGGGTTCTCTGGGCTTCTGTGTCCAGCACCCTGTGCAGGCTTGGGTCTCATCTGCCACCAGAGAAGATGGACAGCATTTTAGGATCTGTTCTTCTTGTTCATGGCCCCTCCTAACCTCTAGTTAGGACAGTCTTGGGTATGGGCCAGGCGTGATGGTGTGCGTCTTTAATCATGGCACGTGGGAGGCAGAGGCAAGTGGATCTCTGTGAGTGCAAGGCTGGCCTGGTCTGCATAATGAATTCTGGATGGAAAAATAAATAAATAAAAAGAAAATGATGTGACTGGTCCTAGGTGTTTTGGAGGAGAAGGTTTGTTGTAGATTAAAAGGGAAAGCAGAGACAGAAGCAGGGGCACCTGGGAGAGTCCAGAATGGACATAATCCTGAGCCATGTGAGGAGATGGGGGCGGAGGGGAGGGACATCCAATCCAAGAGGCCAGGAGGGTAAAGGGTAGATGGAAGGGCCAGGTAACCAAATGACCAGATTATACAGGGAAGGGCAGCCTAGTCTCTAGACTGGAGAAGTTTAGGTGGGTGGGGATATGCCAACCAGGAAGGCTCTGTAATAGGTTGGAACTGAGGGGTGAAGGGAGAATCGGGTGTTCAGGTCTGTTTTGATATGTTAAATAGATACCTTAGCTTTTTGTCCCGGGTTTGAAACCTAAAAAGTTCCAGGATAGCCAGGACTATATAGAGAGACCCTGTCTCAAACAAAACAAATGAAAAAACACAAAACAAAAAAAATCTCATTTGTTTTGGTCTCTAGATGAGGAACTGGAGACAAGGGGGCAGCCTGACCCAAGAGAGGAACCCTCCAAAGGTGACGGTTGGGATTGTCAGACTTGATGATTTTTGCTGTAAAGACCACATCATAGCACACAAGACATGCTCAGGATTATAGCCAAGGAGTCTGTGGCCCAACTGGTACAGCTGTTAAAATAGGTGTGATGGGTACTTAGGAGGGAAGCAGGACCTTGAGGTGACCTCTTAGGGTCCACTGCTCCTCATGGGCCACCTGTCTCTTAGGTCACTGCTCTGGAACGGCAGGTGTTTGACTTCCTGGGCTACCAGTGGGCACCCATCCTGGCCAACTTCATCCACATCATCGTGGTCATCTTGGGGCTCTTCGGCACTCTCCAATATCGGCCACGCTACATTGTGGTGGTGAGTCCACTGTGCTTGGCTGCCTCGATTCAAGGAGCAGGAGCCCTGCCATCCTTGGTGGCAGCTTGGGCAGAATGCCTTAGGTTGGTACCTATCCAGGGTGGGCTTAGGCAACCCTTTCCAAGCTCAGCGTCGGGAAGGTCAGACTCAGGGAGTCCTGGCTTTGCCATGCGTTCAAGGGCTTTCTTCCAAGGCATTGGAGAGAATCAGATGGCATCTCTGAAGCTGCTGGGCTCAACTTCTGCCCTGTTCTTTCTGGCCTCCATAGTATGCTGTGTGGGCAGCTGTCTGGGTTACCTGGAATGTCTTCATTATCTGCTTCTACCTGGAAGTGGGGGGCCTCTCGAAGGTGAGTAAAGATGGGAAGGTTCATCCACTGGGTCTTGGCTGGATCACCATGTGACACTTGATACAGTTCATTGCATATTTCCTAATGATGGGAGCTTGATGCATATGCTGACCCTAGCACCCGTATTATTTGGGCTGTTATCAGTGCCTCAGTAAAGTTCAGCAAGACTGGTTTGTGGGTGGTGAGGGTTGTTGGTAAGGCACTGTATCAGTAGACCATGACCTCAGGCTGGGTAGCACAAAGGGTGAGTCTTCTGGAAGAGGTCCTTGGAACCAGGCAGTACCAGGGAGGAGTAAGACTAAGTAGACATCTGGCCAAGATGTGCAGGTGTGTCCTTCTCAGGGATGGTGGGATGGAGGCACAGGAAGAGACCTTCTTCTTGTGGTCACATAGAGTCTTCTGCCCTAGCCATCTCATGTTTCCTGAGGAAGCTCTGGGTTGGTACAGCTTTTTCTCCTAGCCTGGAGTGATACGTAGTGGTGTGGTGGACTGAGCTAGCACTAACCGAGGCTATGCCAGTCACTGACCTGAGACCCAAGGCCCACTGTGGCAGTTTGGCCAGGGACATGAATGAGAGCTTTGAGGAACCTAGATGCCATAATAATGCATCCGAAGGTCTGCCCAAGGCAAGGGATGTTCCTGGAGGAAGGGGTATGAGGGCTGAGGGCCATGAAAATCAGGCTTTCCCATGGAGAAACAGATTGGGACACTTGTTCCTGTCCCACACAGCGACTGGCCACCTTCATCCTTGCCTGCTCCATGCTGTGGTTGAGAGAGGCCGGCTGCCTCCTGATTCTAACTTGTCCTGCTCCTTTGTTCCCAGGACAGTGAGCTCTTGACCTTCAATCTCTCCCGGCACCGCTCCTGGTGGAAAGAGCATGGTCCAGGCTGTCTTCATGGAGAGGCAGCTACATCTGGCCTGGGAGCAATGCCTGGCCAGTCCTTAGTGGTAGATGCTGGCTGTGCCACAGTGTACAGCTATATGGAAGCCCTGCACAGTGGTCTGCAGATCCTGCTGGCGGTGAGTGTGGGGTCAGGCACCCGGACTGTGGGCTTGTTCTACCTGGGGGCAGAGTCAGGGCCTTTCCTTTGCACAAAGGTATCAGCCTCCATATCCTGCAAAAAGTAGAGGAGTCACAGGTGAGCTCTACCCTTGAGTCTGTCTTAGTCACTGGCCTATTGCTGTGAAGAGACACCATGACCAACGCCACTCTTATGAAAGAAAGCATTTAATTGGGAATTTGCTTACAGTTTCGGAGGTTTCGTCCATTAATCATCATGGTGGGGAGCATGGCAGCAAGCAGAAAGGCATGGTGCTGGAGAAGTACCAGAGAGCTACATCCTGATCCATAGGCAAAGAGAAAGAGACTGGGCTTGGCATAGGCTTTTGGAACCTCAAAGCCCACTCCCAATGGCACACTTCCTCCAACAAGGTCACACCTTCTAATTCTTACAATCCTTTCAAATATTGCCACTCTCTAGGACTAAGCATTGGTCCTATGGAGGCCATTCTTATTCAAACCACCACAGAGCCTTGTTATGCTTCTTGTAAGACAGGCTCAGAGCCAGAATCAAACTTCAGCCTCTACCAGGTGACTCTGTGGAGTACCAGGCACACAGGAACAATGGCGCAGGTGCAGGTTGGAGTAACCAAGATGGATGGTCCCATATCTGCCCAGCACAGGAATACTACAGCAAAGGAGGAATGTAAAGACCCCAAGGCTGACCTCAGAGAGACAATGGAAGGGAGACAGAAGCCCCAGACCAACCAGTAAGGCTGCAAGTGGGCCCCCTGGTGACTGTTTAATCTCAGCAAATCCGATGCATCAAGGGAGCATTTCAGTGCTTTCCCGAGTCTCAGGGCCTTTGGGGATATTTCACAAGTTCTCACCTCCCAGGAGAGAAAGCAGGAGAAGGTGCATACTTCCTGGCACATGGTGGGCTGACTGGGCTGGCGGTGAGCCCACAGCCCTGAGAAGTCTGCCACAGAGCAGATCCTGTGAGACAGGGAACAGTCTCTGGAGATCTGGCTAATTTCCTAGCGCTGTGAGATGACATTGCTCTCCAGGAGCCCCGCTCTGTGAGCGGCAGACCAGTTCCGTGCCCATGCAGCTCCCATGTTGGTCGTGGTCACCGCCCTATCCGGCGGTATGTCACCAGCAAGCGTCAGGTGCCGCCATCCTGTCAATGGTCATGTCCCCTTGGACTCAGGTTGTCCAGGGAGAGCCTGGAGGAAATACAAGTCTCATGAATTCAAAGACACGGAGATTCCATTATTTTCCATGTATTCCAGGAACTTGATCCAAGAGGAAACAGGAGAGAAGGCCTAGTGGCACTCTACAGCTGATGAGGGTGGGTGGGAAGCAGGATTCAGGGGTGCAGAGCCATGGGGCACCAGGGAGTGGAAGTGGTGGGAACAGAAGGCACAGGTATGCAGGTCCGGTGTCATGGCCCCCAGGGATGACCTGAGGCAGACTAGATGCCAGATTGGTCGGAGAACCAGTCCCCCCACCCAGGAGAACCAGTCCTCGTTTCAGCACTGTGGCCAGCTCTCCGTAGGGGCCAACCCTCCACCTCAGGGTGTCCCCTGAAATCACAAAAGGCTGCGTGAAAGACCTCTCAGACACTCTTCACAGTGAGGAAAATGACTTTCAGGCTCAGTTCTAGACTCGTTCCTAGAACGATGGCGTCCCAGGGGCCTGGGGCCTGCACCTGAGCTGGGTAGGGTCTCATGGGCTTTGAACTCATATATTCCCAGCTGTTTATCTCCTCTGACAGGAGGGGTTGGTGGCCTCTTCGGAGGCTGCTGGGCCAGGTCAGTGTGGAACCATGGAGACCACCTCGAGGCAACAGAACAAACGGTTGCCAGGTGGTGGTGTGTGGGGTGGGTATACACAATACAGGTGTTATGTTGGGGCCCACATGGGACAGTGCACTCTCCTGAGATTCATGGCAACATCTTGGATCCCAAAATAATTGGTTTTCAGAAGGACCTGCTGCATATCAAGACAGCTTACACTCGTGACCACTGGATACCTTCCTGTTGTCTCCTCCAGTGTTCTCACTGTTCGGGCCCCTCCTGGCTGTGGTGCCTCCTCTCTGGTTCTCTGAGACCCCACTATAGCTCCTGCTTAGCTGGTACCTTCTGAAATATTTGTGTGCACCAAATCACTCAGGGTTCCAGGAAGGCAGAGCTGTTGCCAGGTGGAGGTGTGGGGGTGGGTATACACAATACAGGTGTTATGTTGGGACCCACAGGGGGCAGTGCAGTCCCCTGAGCTTCATGGCAGCATCTTGGGCCCTAAAATAATACACGAGGAGTGAGTTGTCAGCACCAGGGCAGGGAGGCAGTTTTACTAGCTGTGGGACCTTATTTTCCTGCTCTCTGATCTGCTGGGTTCTCCACAAGCCAACCTAGTCAAACCCATCCTGTCCACATTGCCAGCCTTGCCAGGAATGGAGGCTCGATATGGGGGGAGGCCTGTACCCTGGAACTCACAGTAGAAGGGACTCACAGGACACTGCAGGATGGCATGAAGAAGACAGGCCTGACTCTCTGGGTTCGGAGAACACACAGGGCATTATCATTGTTTTTATTGAGCTACATATTTTTCTCTGCTCCCCTCCCTTCCTCTTCCTTCCTCTTCTACCCTCTCTCATAGGTCCCCATGCTCCCAATTTACTCAGGAGATCTTGTCTTTTTCTACTTCCCATGTAGATTAGATAGATCCATGTATGTCTCTCTTTGGGTCTTTTTAGCTGTCTAGGTTCTCTGGGATTGTGAATTGTAGGCTGATTTTTCTTTGTTTTATGTCTAAAGGCCACTTATGAGTGAGTACATATGATATTTGTCTTTCTGGGTCTGGGTTACCTCACTCAGTATGATGTTTTCTAGATCCATCCATTTGCAGGACATCACCTTGCCCCCTCAAAGCTACCTCTCAGCTTTCATGTTCTGTGCGATTCCTCACCCAGATGTTGCCCACTGGGTGTGTTAAGGGAGAACTGAGGATGTGGGAGTGTGGGAAGCCATGTAGGTAGTATTCCAGGAGATGCAGGGCTTCCATCAGGTCCACATGGGGTCATCCACACCATCCCCAGGCTGCTGCTGCAGTGAGAGATGGCTTGGCATGTCTGGCTTCTTGGTGTCTTTCAGCTCCTGGGTTTCGTCTATGGCTGCTACGTGGTCAGCGTACTCACAGAAGAAGAAGACAGCTGTAAGTGTGTAGCTAACGCGAGTGACAACTCTGAGTGCTGTGCTGTCTGGGGTAGGACCTGAAGGTGGCTCTCAGTTATGCCCTATGCCCTTCCTGCCACAGCCCAAAGATCTGAGAAGAGGGGGAGTCTATGAAGAGGGGCCCAAGGACACTTATCCTCGTGACCCCACAGTGGCCCCAGGAGGGTCTGAGTCCTCAAAAGCATGGGCCACTCTGCCTGCCTGGTACACATGTTGGGTGACATTTAGTACTAGGCAGGACCCATTTGGGTGGATTATCCTTTTCTCTCTGCATGTAAACACCTTTCAACTTAACTTTGATTTGCAATGTGACACAGTAATGCTTCAAGCTATCCCTTTGGGGACCCCCCAGTCCTGAAATAGTCTGATGGGGTGAACCTGCAGAGAAAGGATTGACAGGGTGGGTGGGCAGTCAGGGCTCCTGTGGATGGAAGCTTCTCCAGAGTCAGAATTAAAATCCAAAGCTAGCTGCCCCTGAGAGTCGGGCCGTGGAGTCAGCTGTCCCCATGTTCAAGAGACTTGGGCTTGATTCTGGAGGCTGGTGAGGGATGGTCCCTGAGCCTGGGATCAAGCCCCCCCCCCCTCCGGTGCTGCCTGATCATTGAGCCCTCAGCTAGCTGGCTGCCAGGGATGAAGCAGGAGCTCCACCTGCTCTTTGAATTCAGAACTGCAGCCAGCCCTGAGCTTTAGAAATGTGTTCATTTTACCCAACAAGCCTAGCGACCACTAGTGTGGGGGTGGCTTCATGGAGCAGATGCTTGATGTTAATAAAGGCCACGAGGATGATTGGAGAGCCTAGCAAGGTGGGTGCAGCCCCATCCAGGCTTGAGGGCACTTGTTGGCCTCCTCACCTGATTCCCTCTGGGAAGGTTCATTCAGACCACAGAGCCTGGCAGAAAACTGCACAGTGCCCCAAAGAGATCCCAGCAAGGTTTGCGATGCAGCAGGGGACTGGTTAGCAGATGTGCCTCTCCCCCTTCACAAGTCCCAGCAATGCCCCTTTGCTGGAAATCTACGTTTCCATTCTGCCATCTTTTTCCATCATTTGGGTTTTATTTTATTTGGGCTTGATTTCTTTCAGTTGATTTCATTGGTGGATTTGACCCATTCCCCCTGTACCATGTCAATGAAAAGCCGTCCAGCCTCTTGTCCAAGCAGGCATATTTGTAAGTATGGTCCACTCAGCCTGCATCAGGGTGCTCACAATTCAAGGCTCTTCTCCTTGGAGACTTTATCGGGCATCTGTATGTCAGTCCATTCCCCGAAGACCATGCTCTGGTTAGGTGTCAGGGTGCAGTGACTGTAGAACTCAGCCCACATGTGGAGCTCAAGGCTCAGCTGGGGTAGATTCTGTGTTAATCAGAACCCCAGTCAGCACTGGAGACTGGACTCTCAGGAACGGGAGGGATGCCAACAGGCCACTCCCCCAGGGGCGTCAGTGCTTCAGTAAGTGTAGAGGGTGTCTGTTTCTTATATTTGGCAGATCACATTTCCTTCTCTAAAGCAGTACCACGGCCCTACAGATGCCATGGCCATGCCTGGGCTTCCTGGAAGTCTTGGAATTGAGGTCAGAAGGGACATTGAGGGGTTCTCTTGGTGAAACTGTCTTTGGTCCCAGAGATTCCTAGTGCCTGACCTCAGGGTGTCCTAGACTGTTGTGGATAATGGGTATCACAAGTAGCAGGACTTCAACTCCTAGGATGAATAAAGAAGGAGATACAGACCTAGGAAGGGGAGGAGCCTCATCAGGCTGCCTGCTATAGCTGCTAAGACAAGCCTGGGCTCAATAGATCTCCATGAATAGGGTAGTCCGTGGGAGGTTTCTCATCAGTGGAGAGTCTGAGTGGACGAAAGGACCAGGGTGAAACCCTCACTCCACTTCCAGTCCCATAGGAATGGGCCAGGGTCATCAGAGGATAAGATCAGTACCTGCCCTAAGAGTTGAGAAGCCTAGTCCTGGGCATAGTTTTGCTATAGCCTGAGCTACTATCCCTGCCTTGGTTTTGTGTGTTTTACATCTGAAGTCCCCAAGAGGGGGGACACTGTCCTCCTTCTCTCAGTCCCCTCTGATCTCTGCCTTCTCCGCAGGCCTGCGTAAGTGAGAGAACAGTTGACCCTGCTCCTGCAACCCAGTTTCAGCTGCCGGAACAATGAGGAGACTCCAGGCCTGGAGTCACGGCCCTGCTTCCCTGCCCGCCTAGCATTCTTTCCAAATTCCCCTTGGATACCAGTGAGGGGTGGGGCACACTGAAGGCCAGGGTGGCTGCGACTGTGAGTTTGTAATTTCTCTTTCTTTCTCTCTTCCTTTCTTTTTTTCTAAAAAAAAAAATAGTAAGACAAGACATGAGAGAATACAGAAACAAACTGGACCCCGGTCTTCTTGGGTGACTGGCAGTGAACCTAGGCAGTTTTCCCAGGCGCCCCCAGAGTGCTCTGACCTGAGGTTACAGGACCTGCAGACCACACACCACAAAGGGAAAGGCTCATCAGAGGACAATGAGAGGTTCAGTCCCATCTGGAAGTCCCTATGAGCCACCACGATCCAAGAGTGACAAAGGCCTTGAATAAATACTGCAGTACCCTAGCTGCAGATCTTATTCACGCAAAGGCCCTTGCCCCACTGAGGCCAGTGCATTTCCTGGAGCTGGACCAGGAGCCCTGCCACTCCCAAGCTAGGAGAGAACCGTGGGTGAAGCATGGAGCCTGGGAATGTCACATAGACCCTTCTTTCTAGAAAGTGGATGGCTCTGTTTAGAAAAAAGGACCTTGGGCAAGTATCCTGAGAACACCTGCCATTTTAGGAAATATACAAAGTTTGTGGGTAATTAGAAGTGGGGTCTCAAGAGGCACCTGAAGCCGGTCTGTTCTGAAAGGGTAGAATACAGTGCAAGATCACTGAGATCAGAAAGAGTGTTCTTCCCCAAGCGGGGAAGCGTTTGTGAAGTGACTGGAGGTGTCTGGACACCGGACAAGGCGCTGCTGTGCTGGCGAGAAGCAGCATAGACCGGCTCAGCGTGGACTAGATGAGGCGGGGGTATTTGGTATAGAGCCTAGCTGAGCACTGAAGTCAGACCTTCTACTTTATTATCTTCAAATAGGTTCCCAAAGCTACAACAGAAGCACTCCTCACACCAACCAGCAACTCTTCTTCCACGCTGGGCTATGTTTGTGGTCCCCAGCAGACCCACTGTGTGGTCTGGGACAGGCTGAGGCAGGCAGGGTGCCCAACTTGCAGTACCTGGAGGGAGGAAAGGAGGTCCTTGGCTCCAGTGGCTTCCTTGGCCTACTACTTTACTCTACCAGAGAATTATCAGACACATCTTGGGGACACATTGACCTCTGAGAGCATAAGAAGGCCATAGCTCCCATCTCTCAGCAAGGATGGGGTGTGATACATTTATGTAATAATTGAGGTTCATGTGCCCCCTCCTGGGCATGACCACCAAGCCCCAATCTAGCCCATGTACCCCTGAAGTCGGCCTCTCCAAGCCTAGTTGAGACCCTTGATGACCAGCTAGAAAAGGGGTGTCCCCCAGCCCTCTTTCCCTCTGACCCCACCTATGAAGGATTCCAAACAGTGGGATTGGCTGGTGGAAGGAGTGAGAAGTGTGACCTGACCATCTGTAGAATGCCACTGCCAGCCTTAGGAAGCAAGACGCTGAGGTTACACCCAGGCTGAGGAAGGATGCTGGGAAGACCCTGCACCTTACCTGGTTTAGGACAGGAAGGTGCGTACACAGCTGGAGATAGTCACCCTGCAGATCGGGCACACCTGCAGGTTGGGGGCACACTCAGGGCAGACTAAGTGGCCACAGGGCACGAAGACTACAGAGACAGCTCGATCCAGGCACACCTTGCATGTTCTCTCCTCCTGCAGCTGTCGCAGCTGTTCCTGCACAGACCCAGCTCCTGGGGACTCAAGAAGTCACCAGCACCCTCAGGGCCCAAGAGATGGACTCCTCAAGGGGAATGCACTTGTTACACAGACCCACTCTCTTATCCCCCATGTTCCCCTTCAGTTCCTCCAAGAAAGAAGGTGACCCATCCACCTCAGGTGGATCCCTACTATACCTGGCTCACTGACATTTTCAGGCTGTGTCTCTCCTCTGGGTGTGAACAATTCAGGGCCTCCATGGGCAGGAGCTGTACATAGTTAGTAGAATTGGGTTTAATCAAGGCCTAGCTTCTCTGGGGAAGGGAGGCCTCACCCAAAGAGGGTCTAGCAGCCACTAAGTTCCAGTACTGACCTAGAGAACAGAAAGGTTTTATGGCACTCCGCTGCCATTCATGAGCTTCCTGGAGGCCACCAAGAAACCTGCCTTCTACCAGGGTACTCTGCCTGCCAAGCCCCTTAGACTAGGGAGTCATAGATTGCATGTACTTGGCACTTTGGGGGGGACAGGAAACAAAGAGTGATGGATTCCCAGAGGAGTGAGACAAGGAAAGGCAAGTAGTGCCTAGAAGGGGTACCTCTGGCCCTGGCCATCTGGCCCTCATCCTCCTGGAGCAAATTAGCCATCAGTTGTGAAGGGGCTGTGCTGGGCACAGCTGGGCTCTGGCTCCATTCCTGGATGCCTCTGGTATCTTTAAGGCAGAGAGAGACAGAGATCCCAAGATTTATGGGGTGCAGAGAAAGGCTGGTGGTCTGTGGCATGCTCTGTCTGTACACACATCTGCATATTCCCAGAAGGCACTGGGGAAGGTCTGGCCCTCTAACAACAAGGTTACTGCATTTTCAGAGCCTCTCTCTAGAGGTGCTACCATCACTGGGGAGGACGGCAGACAAAGCCCTGCCGAGCACCAGAGTGTCTCACAGAGGTGGGTGCTTCTGAAATGGGTGTGTGTTGTCATATCACGTCTCACAGCAGTGAGGGAGAGGAGCCATTTGCCTGTGTCCACAAAGGTAGCAAACACATCAGGTGCTTTCTGAAGTCAGAAGTCCCTTGGGGGTCCCTGAATTACCTCAGACCCCTGTCCCATAGGGCCCAGGGAAGAGATTTGGAAAGCTGTGTCTCCGTGGCTCTGCTCAACAGGCTTCTCCTTACAGCTTGGTTGGCTTTCAGAAGCTGTGCCCAGCAGAACCAGCCCAGCTACATCCTCAGGTTTGGCTGGTGCCTTTAGCAACCTACTCGGTGGGACCGAGGGAATGCAGTGACCTGACCTATGCCTTGGACACACAGCACGTGTGCACAGTCCCTCCCTGCTAACTGGCAGGTGGGTGCACTCAACAGTCCTACCCATATACAGGCTGCAAATACCAATGAAACAGCAAGGGCTCTCTGTCAGGGTATCTCACCATCTCACCTGAGTGGGTGGCAGAGACCGGATCTTCTGGTTCTTCCCATTGGTCCTGTGGGAAAGCCGTCAATGCCGTAAGTAAACAAAGCAAGGGACTGCCAACCCTGAGTCCTGAGTACAGATGGACTAAGATGGACTTACCCAGGAGCCAAGCAAGGGGGTGCAGGCCTGGATTCTTTCCACAAAGTGCCTTCCTTTTGACTGCAGCAGGAACTGACACCTGGGGAAGAGATCTCGGAAGGCAGGACTGGACTCTGAGAGCCCCACTGCCACACTCAAGCCCCAGGAGCCATGCTTTCTGTTCCCATGGAACCCATTACACCCTAAGGCAGGCAGGCAGGGCTGTATCTCTGGGGGCGGGGGACTTGCTGGGACTCAGGAGATGGACTCTGAGCACCTAGAAAAGGATAGCAGCAGGATAATGCCCACCATAGCGGCTCTTCCAGAAGAGTGGGGTTGTCTGCTACCCTAGGGAGATCCCGATATCCCAGGACTGTGGAAGAAGGGAAGACTGGGCAGAGTTCTTTAGGGCCCTTTCCATTAATCACACCTGCATCAATCCACTTGGCCTTTACCTGGGGAACCATCGGGCATGCTCTGTCCAGGGGTCATCTCCCTGCTCCCAGCTCTGCAGACCGCCATAGCAGAAGAAACATCTCACCTTGTCCTGCTGACCTGGGGTATGGCAGAGACACATGGTTGTAACCCCACCGAGCTGGCAACCCCAGGGTGTTCCTCTATGACCTTCAGAGCTCGGGCAGTCAGGACTGGGGTCTGCCAGCAGGTTAACAAGAAGGGGGCAAGGTACCATGGGCATCTCTCTTGTCTCATAGGCAAATGAAGGCAATGCCTGGGGTATGTGTCAGGGGGGCCCGAGAATATTCTGGAAAGGCTGAGCGAGCATTTATGTTGTTCTGAAAGCATGTGGGTAGGGTAGGGCCAAAGGCTTGGAGCTTCTGTAGCCTGGAGATTCAAGGCATCCAAGAAGGATTCCTAGAGACAGGATAAAGAGGTTACTCCTCCCATACCAGTCTATAGCCAGGCTTGGTTTGATGGCTCAGGCCTTCCTCATCTCTGCTCTCTGCCCCTCCCCCAACCATGGGAACATGACTGCTTACAGGCACATATCCCACAGCAGACAGCCACACTCCACAAAATCCTCCTAACATCTATTGGCTTCAGGGACACTTTTTTTTCAAGGATGCTCTAGCTGTCCCAGCCATTAACCGTCATAACCAGTGTCCAGTCACCCTAAATCAGTGTGGACTCTTAATAACTGATTCCTCCCCTGCTGGCCCCACTGGTGACAGCTATGTTTCTCTGGCTATGTTCATACTTACAAAGCCCCTCAGTGGGTCTCGCTGCCTCTTTTTCCTCAGCCAGGCAGAGAAGGAGCCAGAACCTGACCCCTACCTTGAGTGAGGAGCAGTCCAAGCTAAAGGAGTGGGCTGTTTGTAACTAGAACAGGTACTCAAAGGATTTGTCTGGAGTTGGTCCCTGTCTTAGCCTGGTACATGGCAAGCCTGGAGGATTACCTACAAGATGGGCACAAATCAGGATGCTTAAGCTATTCTGATTTTGTCTCGTTGAGTCCTGGAATGAAAGGAACTAATCACCTCTGTAACCAAGTCTGCAAGGCTCCCACACGGCAGCCTTGAGTAGCGTGGGGGACCCGCAGAACCATCCAGGTGAAACCCCCATCTGCTGAGGGGCCCTCAGGACAAGGCCAGCACAAGCCCAGGATCTCATAGTGACTTTAGCTGGGGTGGACCCCACGCTCTGGCCAAGCAGTGATGACAGGATTACCTTTCATTAGCTCCTTCCTCAGGGCAGGGATGGACAGAACTCTTTGACCTGGAAGAGTACTAAATAGCATCCAGACCACAGCAGAAAGACCTCAAGACTTACCTGTATGGAAGAAGCCAGCAGCAGCCAATGGCTCGGGCTGAATTCCAGCAGTGGATGGCCAGTTGTAGAAGGAAGCCAGCCGGAGATCCTCTGAATCCATCTCAGGGAAGGCAGGCTCCCCAAGGAAGGTAGCCCCAGAGGGTTCTTGCTCTTCTGACAGGGGGCGCAACTGGCCCAAGATCTGCCCATCTATGCAGTCCTGGCCCAGGACATGGCTACCCGCACTGCAGGGTCTGCTCTGCTCCTGGGTGGAGCCATTGCTGTCTTCCCTGTGACTTAGCTCTGGGCCACAGGACAAGTCCCTGGCCCTACCCTCAGTAGCTCGGAGCCAGTCTGCAGGAGAGAACATCACCGACCCTGGAGTGTGCCTGGTGACTTATCTCCAGCTCCTGACTCTAGCCCTTTCTAGAAGCTCTGGTGACTCCTGCTTCTAACTGGAGGCCAATGCCACTAGACGCTCAGATGTTGTAGTGTCCAGGGATGCACCACTCTCTGGAAGAGGCCAGAGTGGCAGCCACGTGCTCTGTGCAGCGAGAGTGTCACAGGGCCTCCAGGCAGGCGCATAACAAAGGCAGTACTCCACGGGACAGAAAGCTTCTCTAAATAGGGGGAGGGGCAGAGCTTGGGGACCTCTCCAACAATATCCCCCAAGCCTCTGGAAACAAGTCCTGGATTTTGACAAAATCATAGAGGAGGGGGAACTCCAGCATTCAGAGTCCAGTTCTGGGTAGAGGTAGAGCTAGAGGATGGCTAGAAAGCTAGATTGTCCAGGAGTGTATGCAGCCCCAACCACATTCTTCCATACTAAGCCTGTCCTGATGTCAGAGGATGACATCACCTGCTTATCCTGTGCCCTAGAACTTAGAAGATCCCTGCTGGGCTCAGTCCACCTAACTTGTCTGGCCTCAGGTTGACCTCTTTCTGTCTGGACAGTCTAGAGTCAGATCGTGGGTGGGGTGTGCCCTGGGAGGAGCTCGAGGTTTGGATTGTTTGCTCCAGGCCAGACATCTGCACCGGGACAAGGGTTACTGTCTCCCTAAATGAGCTCTGCCTCAGAACTGGTCCCAGGGACCTGGTCTCCTCTGAACTTCCCCAAGTGAGGGACTCCATTGCGACAGACCTAACAGAACAGAGAGGAGGGCCATGACTCGAGAGAGGACATAGCTACAGGTTAGTAAAACAGAAGTCCTCAGGATTACTGGAAGGGGAGCGAAGAAGGAGGAGGAGCCAGCTTTGCCCCAGCTGACAACTGTATTCAGACAATTGCACAAACCCTTCACCTGCAAGTAGCTCTTCACTGCCGGTGAAGCTTTTAACATGGTGAACGTTTATATTTATATCCCAGCATTCAGGAGGTATACAGAGCTCCAAGTTTGAAGCTAGCCTCATCTACAGAGTGAGTTCCAGGACAGCCAGGGATACACAGAGAAATCCTGTTGCTACACAGAGAAGCCGTGTTTTAAAAGGGAGGGGGGGAATAGAAAAAGAAAGAAAGGGAGAGAGATTTAAAAAAGGGGGGGAGGAGAAAAAGAAAGAAAGGACGAGAGAAAGAAAGAAAGGAAAAGAAAAGGAGAAGGAAGGGAGGGAGGGAGGAAGGAAGGGAAAGAGAGGAAGGAAAGAAGGAAGAATAACTTCAGTTTGAAGTCCATTTTGGTCATACTCACCCCCCCCAGATCCATCCCCATCTCTCCACTCCCAACTTCAACTCCTCTTGTTATTTTTTTTAAATGTCCAGTTGTGCTGTCCATATATCTGTGGGTGTGGCAACATCCACTGGAACATGGTCAACCTACCAGGGGTCACCAGCCTTAAAGAGAACCGTCTGCCCCTCTCCCAGAAGCTGTCAACTACCAATAGTCCCTCAATCAGGGGTAGATATAGAGAGGTGGTGAGGGGCAGGTGAGGTGGTGAGACACTGTGAGGTGGGCATGGTGGTTCATGCATGCAGTCCTAGCACTCATGGGGCTAAGGCAGGAAGACTGTTGTGATTTAAGGCCAACCTGGACTACACAGCAAGTTCTATTTCAGCCTGAGCTAAAGCAAGACCCTGTTCCAAAAAATATATATAAATTACAATTATTGCAAGGAATAGAGAGAGCAGAACAGATTGGGCAGGAGGCCTGCCTTCTCAGGGGTAGGGGGACACCATCCTGGATTCTGCTTCATAGGGCCTGGCCTGCCAGTAGGATCCCGAGTGAGGAGGCACCTGACTTGGAAAGATCTGGGTGCCAACCCTGTCTATGATCTCACCCTGCTCACTTGCTACAACAGAGCTCCAGTGGCATGCAGAGCCCACGGGCAGCTTTTCCAATGTACATGACTTTAGAATGCCCCAGGAGAACCAAGCTTCACAGAACCCTCATGGCCCTTTGAGAAAGAAACCGGGCTTTCATCGTTTCAGAGATGTGAAAACTGAAGCAAGTTCCCTGGGAGGTGTGGGAGATCAGTCTAGGAAATGGTAGCCTAGCCTACTCCCTTCCATACCAGATCAAGATCTGCAGGGCTGGAGTCCCTGAGGAATCTGCCATCACCAGCTCAGCAGATGTACCCACATATGACACTGCAGGATTCAGGACCCTGTCTCATTCCCTGCTAGGCCCATGTACTGCCGATACTTCCATCTGTGGCCATAGAACCTTCTAGAGCACCCCCAGGCCCTCACAACCTCTCCCCTTCTCTCTACTTGCAAGCAAAAGGGCAGAATCACAGCTCTGGTATTTGAACCCAGAGCCCTGCCTTTCCAGGGCTTGCTGTACTGGGTTCCCAGGGATTGAGGTCAAAGGGGCTGATAAAGGAGAATGGGCAGTGTCATCAAACTCTTTCTCTGTGCAGGTCCAGGCCTAGGTCCCTGGGGCTCTGATCATTGGACTCTGAATCTGCTGGCTGGGCCTGGGGACCTGTGACAAAGGACAGTCTCTCCCAGTCAGGATCGCAAGCATGCAACTGAGCCAGCCCCTCTTTCCTGTTTGAGAGTCCTCCTGGCAGACAGGAATGTCCTCTAGCTGGGACCACAGAATGGGGATCTTAGCGCTCTCAGCAGCGCATGAGGACCTTGAAAGAGGCAAGCAGTAGCATGATGTGTGCGGAAGGAGCTGGAAACAAACCCCTGGGCGTCTGAGTCAGATGCATTCATGCTGGGACCTCATAAGAACAGCACTAGTCTCTATAAATGCCTAAGTCCCCACCATGAGCTCACACTGCAAGCTGAGCCCCTTGTCAATGCAGGCAGCACCTAGGTGATGACAGACTGTAGTTTGCAAGGCCCTGTAGCTCATAGCTTGGCCATGGTGTGACTCTGGGTCAGCTAAGACTCAGTGTGAGAATGTAGGGACAGTTGGTGCCACCCTCTGTGTGGTCGAAGCCTAGAGGGAGGCCTGAGGGTTCCTGGATGTGGTGGGGGAAGGGATGAGAGAAAGAGAAGGAAGACAGAGGAAGGCCAATGCACTAGCCCCCTCTGTAGACCAAGAGGATTCTTTCTGCATAGTTCTATAGATTCTCTGTCATGCTCTGAGCTCTACAGAGCAGACTCCAAACAGGATGAAGCGTGAATGCCAGTGTCGGGTATCCTGCTGTTGACATTGGACTTGCTTGTAAAGGCCACTCCTCTGGACACTCCAAGTGTATTTTCTAGAGACCCTGAGGTGTCTGGCCAAAGGAGAACACGTAGGCATCATGGGCCAGCTGAGATGGCAGCATCTTCTGTTCCCAAAATCCAGGGGATCCCAAATCTCCCACAGGTCAACCTTCCAGACTGTGTATGTCTGGGCCCAGCCTCCAGCCAAGGAGGAATCCAGGGTAAAGTTGGGTTTGACTTCAAGAAGGGCTAGCTCAGGGAGCTCCCGGGCCTCAGGAAGGGCTGCAGGGAAGGAAGGGGAACTGTAGCCTGCAAGGGACAAGCTAGACATTACTTCATCTTTATCAGAGTTACTGGAGGGGTTGTAGATAACCAGGCTCAATGGAATTGAGTGTCAGGCTCACCTGTGAGTCTGCTACACATACAGGTCCCCAACTTCTCCCAGGGACCTGGCCTGAACCCTAGTTAAGTGTGGCCATTTAAGTCTTCCTAAAATGAAATAAAATGGGAAAATACAGTCCTTAAATTCCAAGTACTCAGTCGCGGCACAAGGTCAGTGGCTGTGCTGTGGGACAGAGCAGCCCAGAAAGTCACAGTATTCAGCCACTGTCCACGGGATGAACGAACGTCAATCACCCGGATTTGGAAGATGGGGGAGCCTGAGGTCATAACGCCTGATTCAGAGTACACCCTACTGGACATGAAGGGAATGACAACACGGGTCCTAGAGAGTTGTGGAATTAGCCACCTACATAGGTGGACCAAACTCTTCAGAAATGCTGTGAGATTCTAAGGTGACAACAAGAACAAGGGTCCAAATGCCTGGAAGGTAGCTGAGGGACTCTGGAGTGGGGTGGGGCTGTAGGGACAGGAGGCACGTGTAGCCAGTATCTGGGAACTGTAAGAACATGAGGAAGTGTGGGCACCAGGAGACGAGTTAATAGGTGCTGGAGGCTTCAGCGAAAGCCCAGGGTGGATGGCCTCGGGTTTAGCTTGATCCATATGCTCAGATAATGCCATCATTTGCAGACCTCTCCCTCTCAGGGACGACAACAGGTCTCAGTAACGATGGCCTTGGACGAAGTGAGGGCAAGTGCACCTCGTTTCCCCAAAGGCACCAGCTTAGGGCTGAGGACTGACTCCCTGAATTGATATCAACATGCAGTTACCAGGCTGAAGGGTTGCTGGTCATCATGGGGAGCATGGAGGAGACATGAAGGAGCGTCTCCTACAGGCTTCCCATCCTCTGGCCAGGTCGTCCTTATTGCTTGGGGACGGGTGTTGGTTGCACGTCTGGCCAGGCCCTCACTCCAGGCTAATAGCTTCAGCAGTGTTCACCAGCTGAGCAAGCATCCTCACATACTCCTTGTCCCAGCTGGGCCCCAAGCCCCTCCTCCAGGGTGAGCCCGCTCACTCTCTTCCTGCTGCTGCTGTTGATCCTCGCCAACCCCACTTGGCACAGTCATCACTTGACTCCTGTGATGCCAGCTCTGTGCATCTCCAGCAGGGCCTCGGGATCCTTGTGGTTCCCAGGCACCTTTTGTAACAGACGATTCTTACCTAGAATTCTGCTGTGGCCACTTTCTGGACAGTCTTTGAAATTGTTTTATAAGTGCCACCAGCTGAGGTGATTAAGCCGGGGCAGGACTTGGGGACTCAGCTCAGCCCAGCCTCCATCTCCCCTAGAGTCAGTTTTTAAGGCCACCCCTTGTCCCAGCAAGAGCCTGGATGTGGGCACAGTATATTAGAGGTCCTTGTATGGATGTTGCAGGGTGGGGCTTGGGTAACTGAAGGTCAGCACCATTCTACCTGAGGAAGCATGACATTAAATACCAAGTTGGTTGAAAAATAAGCAAACAAAAAATCAAATAAACAAACAGTTTATGACAGGTCTAGAGGGAGCTGGCGAGGGAAAAGAGGAGAAAACCTTTCTTGCTATTTGAACCAGAGCTCCTGGTTTTCATGTTGCCTTGGGTGAGAGCCAGACTTGATTGTCACATGAGTTGAATGAAGATGCCTCTCACAGAAGCCTGTGTTGTTTCATGACTTGAGGTCAAGACCTGAGGCTTACATGATCCTAGAGTATCACATACCCTGCTTGTTCTTCCTCAGCCTTGAAGCTGTTATCCTGGAGATGTCCGCATCCTAGGCCTGTCCTGGGAGACAGTACCTGCATCCTAGGTACTGTCCTGGGAGACAGACAAGCACAACCGTGGTAGCAGAAGCTAACTGCAGTTCCTGGAAACACAGAGGCATGACATGTCAATAGGCCATGACACCCTAAGTGGATGCTAAGTTTCTGGTCCAAGTTAGTCTGGTGGTCCTTGGGTGCCATGTAGAGGGGAAAAAAGGGGGGGTGGATAAGGGTTAAGGTTCGTGAGTAAATTGAGGTTCATGAGTAAGTTGAGGTTCAGATTGGCTGGCTGTGCCCTGGTATTTGCTCTGATTTCTTGGAGGTTTGCTTTCTGGTTCAAGACCACAGAGCTGCTTGGCTTTTGAGAGGTGGGTTGCATGATGTATCTGCTATATGCTGGCCCAAGCACCTGCACTCAGTCATGGATGCAAGATTCTAGTTTTGTTTTGCTATTTTTTCTTTGTAGCTTTGGAACCTGTCCTGGAACTTGCTCTGTCGACCAGGCTGGCTTCAAACTCACAGAGATCCCCCTGCCTCTGCCTCCCAAGTGCTGGGATTAAAGGGGTGGGCCCCCACTGCCCGGCTATCACCTGGATTCTCATTAAGGGACATCCTAGAGCCCAATCCAGGGACATTCTTTCTTCTCATTCTTCCCTGTCCTGGCTGCCTGCCAAATCACTGGTCTGATTTGTGGTGACTTGGTTAAGCCATCCTTTTTGTGTCTGGTTGAAGCACCGGGCTCATTTTCTGATCCCATGCCTGTGAACTGGTGGCCAGTCAGTGTAGAGTAAGGCTGAGCTGGACTGTGAAAGCATGCCTCCACAGGGAGCTACAAGGGCAGGGACCACTGGTACTCTAGTACTCTGTATATCCCAGGCATAAAATAGGTAGTCAACGAGTGCTTTGGATAAGTAACTGATGGACATTTAGAGAGAGGAGCTGTGATTCACAGGAGCCTCTCAAAGTTGCTGCTGAGGGGCAAGGACAGAAGGAGCCCCAAGATCACAAGTGGGTTTTCCTGGAAGACAAACTAGACACCCCGGAAAGCATGGAAGGAAAGGGTGTTCAGAGGGAGGTCTGCTATGGGGGGGGGTTGTTCATTCCCAAGAGGACATTCATAGAGAAGGGGTGGGGGGCTGCATCTACCTGGACAGGTGTCTTCACTGCTGGCTCAACGAGAGCCAATTCTCAAGTGAGCTAAACCCAGCACGCAGCACAGGCTTGTTCCAGCCAGGTCATTTGAATACAGGGCTTATACCCTCTGGGTCCCATCCTTCAGCTCTCCTAGTTGGAGATGGGGGGGGGGGAGGATATCTAACATCTACAAAATGGCTAACAGAAAAATGCCCTTCAACCCATTCATTTTTCCTCTTGTATCCTTCTACAAGATAGGATGACGTGTAACAGAGGCTAGAACATTTACTACGGCAAAGACAGGGACCAAACACTCCCTGGAAGGAATGGGGAGGTGCATCTGGGTGCTGGTGCCTAGCAATGTTCTTGCAGAGGACCAATGTTTGTTCCCAAGACTCCCATGATGGCTCACAAATTGCCTGTTACTCTAGTTCCAGATAATCAGATGGCTTTTCTGACCTGCACAGGCACACGCATAGTGTGTGTATACATACATTCATGCACACAAACATATACATACATGCAAGCAAAACACTCTCATAAACATTGGTTAAGAGCATTGCCTGCTCTTCCAAAGGTCCTGAGTTCAATTCCCAGCAACCACATGGTGACTCACAACCATCTGTAATGAGGTCTGGTGCTCTCTTCTGGCCTACAGCCATATACACAGACAGAATATTGTATGCATAATAAATAAATAAATATTAAAAAATATTTTAAAGGGGCTAGAGAGATGGCTCAGAGCTTGAGCACTTGCTGCTCTTTCAGAGGATTCAACTCTCAGCACACATTTGGGGGTCAGAACCATCTGTAACTCCAGTTCCAGGGCCTCCCTGAGCACAGGTACACGTGTGGTGCATTTACATACAAGCAGTCAAAACACGGAAAATAAAAGTTAATATATCTTTTTAAAAATATATTTGAAAGATTTATTTTATATGTGTGTATGCCTGTCTGTTTGCGCACCGCGTGCACCATGGCACATCCGATGTCAGAAGAGAGTTTTGGAACCCCTGGGATTGTGGTTACAGGCAACTGTGAACCTCAATGTGGCTGTTGGGAACCAATCCCGGGTCCTCTGTGAGAACAGCAAGTAGTCTTAACCACTGAGCCATTGCCTCAGTTCTCTCTCTCTCTCTCTCTCTCTCTCTCTCTCTCTCTCTCTCTCTCTCTCTCTCTCTCTCTCTCTGTGTCTGTGTGTGTGTGTGTGGTAACAAGTTCACTGAGCAAGGGGCCTGTTTGAAAGTAAATGTCTGGTGGGGTGAGTGAGTTCTTTGTTGGAGACTCTTTGGTGTGTGAAAAATGAACGGAGCTTTCCCCACGAATTTGGAGCCAAAAGGAGGCTGTCTAGCCTTCCTCAAAGGCCTCTTGTCTTTTACTCCTGGGTGATGGAATCGGGTTTAGAATCTAAGGCGATTAAACTGGTCACACACTGGTACTCCCTTCTCAAGGCCAGATTGTCCCACGGCAGCAAGGAGGCCTGCACAGCACCGGCAAAATTCTTGCGCCAGTGGGACAGGAGTAGCTAAGCCACAGACACCCACCTCCTCCTCCTCCGACTCGCCCCGCCCCGTCCGGCCCCGCCCCTCCAGCGCGAGACTGAGTCCCAAGCGCGAAATTCTGGGCGAGGAGAGACGACGCGCAGGCGCAATGGTGGCGACTCGACGGCGCTCCCGGCCTGCCCCGCGCGCTGACGTCGCGCAGCCTCGTCCCCGCCGCCGCGGCCGCCATTGGAGTTGGCTACCCCTCAGCCTGTCCGCTACCTCCCCGCTACCGCCCGCTGTTCCGGCCCGCGTGCCCACTGCTGCCGCCGCGTCCGGCTGCGCCCGCGGGATTGGCGGCGGGGCCCGGGGCCGCGCGCGGCGTGACAGGCCCGGCCTCGCGGGAGGCCCGAGCCGGCGGCGCCCCGGTCCCGCGCCGCGCTGTTCATGAAGCATGTCGGCCACCAGCGTGGACCCCCAGGTAGGGGCGTCTCGGGACCACGGTCACGAGGCCGGGCCGTGGGCCGAGGTTGCGGTCTGGGCCGCGCCGGGGAACTGGAGGCTGGGCTGGGGGTGCAGGGTCCGGGCCGGGAATCCGGGAGGCCGGGTCAGGGCTCGGGTCTCCGGGCCGAGGACCTGGATACCAGGCCGGGCCGGAGTTAGGGGTTCCGAAGGTGGGGTCCGCTGGGTCTGGCCGTGGTCAGAGTGTGAGAGATCCGGAGGCCGGGCCGGGGTTGTGTCGCCCTCCGCGGAGCATTCTCCGGATAGTAACTTTTGTGTTTCCTTTCCCGGGCTGGGTGGTGTCCACCCGCACATCCTGACCTGCGGCGACGCAGAGAACAAAAGGACAAGATAATAAAGGTGAGCAGAGTTCCAGGAAGTCGACTTTGGAGGAGGACGGGGCAGCGTCGGTCCGTGTGGACGAGAGAAAGTCTACCTTGCCTGGAATCCGAAAGTTAGTTTTCTCCGTCAGCTCGGAGGAGATGAAACTTTCCATTTCCGGGATATTTGACAGATTGGGGGGGGGGTACTAGAAAATAAAGGCGTCCCGGGAGTAGTTCGGCCCTTCCCTCTTCACTCTGCAAGAACAGTTACCTGGTGGGGAAGGAAATGGCGATAAGACTTCTTCGCGGAGTCCAGGGGGCTGAATGTTGGTCCTCTGTTGCTAGGTAGTGGGTGGTTCTTAGGGAGAGTCAGCTAGCCTGCGGGCCTCGGAGGCTCGGCCCTCCACCCTAAGTTACTGTCCCTGCAAGTTTGTTGTCATCTGTGATAGTCTGACCCGTAATAAACTGCCAAAACTCAGTCGTGGAAAGTGACCCTAGACGTTTACTTGGAAGACTCTTTAACCAGTGCATGTTGTTGTTACTTGGGTGTAACCAAATATGGTTCATCGTGTTTTAAGGTTGGAAAAGGCCCAGCACTCTATTTACCATTCCTTTCCTTTCCTTTCCTGGCTGTGCACTGTAACAGCAGAAAGTAAGTGGAGAATCAGATGCTAGTGAGCTTGGGTTACGGCCCTTTCCAGCTGAGCATCCTGCCCTCTTCAGCTCTCTGTGCCCAACGGGGCTCTTAGAGCCTGGCAAAGAATTTCTGAGACCCTGTAGCTTTCATCAGCTGGGGGTCAGTTCCCACCTCTGGGGTGGGGGCATCACAAGACCCTCGAAAGTCTGGCTGTAAGTTTCTTGCCATTTATTTTACTTGCAAAAAAAAAATGACCTGACCAAATTATGACTATATCTTTATAAAAATGTAATTTGTAGAAAGCTGTATACTGCCAGTCTTACGAGGCATGTTAACATCGGCTCTAGAGTGTGCCCATTTTAACATAAGATGGTCTCTACTAAAATTTGATGAAAATGGACTTTGCTAAGGTTCCCATGCTTAAAAGTAATTCCCATGCTGAAGATAATATTTTGCTACTTCTTGTTGTAGTACAAAATGGTTCTTTGCATCAAAAGGATACAGTTCATGACAATGACTTTGAGCCCTACCTTTCTGGACAGTCCAATCCGGTGAGTTTATTTTATTAGTGAATTTTTTTGTTTTTTAAAGTAATTTTGTTTGTAACACCTTGACTATCATATTTCTAATTTCTTATCCTAAGCAGGAAAGAGGCAGGCTAGAGAATAGTAAACGTGACCAGTCTTGAAGAGTTGATTTGAGTGGGTCTTCCTGCTAGGCCTGGGGCCTGAGTGATGCAGAGCAGCACCCACTGAGGATGGGGACAGACAGACTTCTAATTGACTTCTTTTTTTTTTTTTTTTTTTTTTTTTTTTTGGTTTTTCGAGACAAGGTTTCTCTGTAGCTTTGGTGCCTGTCCCGGAACTAGCTCTTGTAGACCAGGCTGGCCTCAAACTCCCAGAGATGCCTCTGCCTCCCTAGTGCTGGGATTAAAGGCGTGCGCCACCACCGCCCGGCTCTAATTGACTTTTTTATGGTGTAAAGGAGTGGTGGTTCCCTGAAGCTTTGTGCTGTATTCATTTTGTCTCTGGAGGGTTAGAGTTAGGATCTAGGAGAGCAGCTTAAGCCCTGGGCAGTGCAGCAGGCCCTTTCTGTGCATCAGGTGACTCACCTTCCCTGAACCTTAGTTCTTAGGACTGTTGGGAGGTTGGCACTAGAGAGGGCATATAAAGCACAGAGAGTGCCTCTGTGGTCCAGCAGGCTTCAGGGCCTGTGTTCCTAGGTGATTCAGTATTCTTACCTTTGCCACCTTTCCACCTTATTCAGTGTTGCAGGGTCTCTTAAACCCAGAACTTGCCAATGTGGCTAAGTCTCAGTTGCTTTGGGAATCTCCTGTCTTTACAAGTAAGCCCCCCAACTCACTTGGCATTTACGTGGGTTTAGGGGGGGGCCCAAACTGTAGTCCTAAAGCTTGGGTAGCAATCGTTTTAACTGAGTCATCTCCCCTGCCATGACTTCTATATTTTAGGTGTGGGTGTGGCTCAGGCAGTGGAAGTGTGCACGTGCACAGGTGACCTTGGAGTCTAGAGTAGTAGGTGCAGTGCAGGTGGTTATGACAGCCTACATGGGTGCTGGCAGCTGAACTGTGGTCCTCTGTAAGAGCAGCAAGTCTCAACCTCCAAGCCATCTCTCTAGCCCCAGACAATTAAAAAACATTTTTTAAATTTATTCTTTGAAAATTTCATATGTGCATACAGTCTGTATGGATCATAGCATCCTCACACTTCCCCAGCGTGCCCCTCCCACCTTCACGTCCTCTCTTTCCCCTAATCTACTGGGTGTTTTGTGCCAAAGTATTGTTTTTACTGTTCCCTGCACAGTAGGATCACTAGTTACATACAGGCACCCCCCCCCCCCACTAGATTTCCTGATTAGCTTCCTACAAAACTTATCTGCAAGAAGTCTTCTGGCAACAGAATCGCTCTGGTTAAAAGCCATAGGCAAGCTGGGTATGGTGGTTCATACCACTAATCCCAGTACTCAAAGAAGAGGCAGTTGGATCTCTGTGAGTTCAAGGACAGACAGGACTATAGTGAGACCTGTCTCAAAACAAGCAAAAAACCATAGGCAATTTGAAATTTAGGTTTAACCATAGTGACTGCTACTTTTAAATGCATGCTGCATTTTTAAGTAAAGCAAGGTTGTGTCTGGTCCTTGTATTGGAAGGAAAATGAATTACCTGACTGTTTTTGTTTTTGTGTTTTGTTTTTCTTTTTCACTTTTCTGCCCCTTCAAGATCATCTTAGAGCATTTTACAACTTTTAGCCATCTTCTCACCACATTTAGCATATCAGAAGCCTAAGAGTCTGAAGGAACCTTAACTGTAGGGCTGCATGGTTGCCCCTGAATGTCTGAACAGTATGGAGTTGCAGAACTGACTTGGCTTTAGTAGTGGGCTGTTGGCCATGGCAAGGACAAGAAGTTAAACAAAGCTATTCTTTTGAATATTGTATTTCCCGGTTTTCTTAGTGATGAGTAGTGGCATATACTAAATATTAACCAAAGCAAGGAACTAGGGTTGCTTTACTACATTTGAAATGTGTTTTTATAAAGTAGGGGCACATGGAACATTTGAGAGGATGTATTTAAAGTGGAGTCGGTCCCACCCACCCCCAGTCCCACAGTCAATTGCAGGCCACTGCAGTCTTCTTTTGTGGAAGCCATGGAAAGAAGGAACGTTCTTCAAGGTCACTCCCTTTCGTGTCTGTGTGTTCAGATGTGCACTTTTAGCAAAGTACTTACAGCACATTTTACTTCAGAGTAAATGTGTGCTCCTGATGGCAGATTTTCTAGAAATGCCCAACTTCGTTAGGTAGAAAGTAGTAACACAGGAAGCTTTCAGGTGTTTTTAGAAGAAGCAGCTGAGTACCAGCGTGACAGCTGTTTACCTGTTTGGAGAAGCTGGGGCCTTCATTCTTCAGGTGCTTTTGTCTTTGCTTTGCTTGTTTCTTCATATGGGGCCAAGTGACCATCTGCCTCCTTGCTTTTTCTGTAGTACATCTCAGTGCCCAAAGATAGTTTAGAATGATTGATGGACACCGTCACTTGTGTTGTTTCCTGTGGCTAGATTGACATTTATACCTCTATACTCATTTGTGAGGAACTGCTGGCCTTGGGAGCTCTTCTTGGCTTATCTTGAAAATTGAGCCTACCTAGTCATCCAAGGTTTTTTGTTTTTTTTTTTTTAAATCAGGCTTTGTGTGTTTTTTTTCACCTGCAGTCCAGAGTTAAGTTAAGTAATGCTGTGCCTTGTTAGGGCGTATGCAGCCTCTGTCTGTGAAGATCTGGGAGAAACTTGATACTTGTGTTACTGCCATGTCTAGGCAGTTCTGGTAGGCTCAGGATTAGTGCATATGTGCCTGGCTATCAAGCCTGTATCTGGCTTGGAGTTTTGTGGTTATGTGTACATAAAATTCCTAAAAGTTCCCGTGGCAATACCCAGTGAGGAGGGATTTGCTCCCAGTACAGCGTCCCAGAGGGGCAGTGAAAGGATACTGCGAATCTTTACTTGCCCCTTAGTAAATTGTTTCAACAGATAAAGAAATTCCTTGTCAGAAACTCTTCTCTCTTCATACTGATCAGCCAGATAAGGGATTGGCATTACAGTCTCAGAAGGACCAGCCTTGAAGAAAGACCAAGAAGTCTAGCTGAGCCAGTATGTAGTGTTCAGATTCTTCTGTCTCTGGTTATCTCCTGAAGTAAATGTAGCCGTGCTGATTGGCAGAGCAGTTCCCAGGAGTCCTAGTCACTTGGTCACTTTTCAGCCTTGCCCTCAGTGCTTTCTTTTCAGTAGTTGATTTGATCCAGTGAAGTGCATGTGTCTCAGCATGCTCCAGAGGTGACCTGTGGGGCTGGGAAATCTCCTTCTAGTGTCAGTCCCTCTGACGCCCAGTCACCTTGTTTTTCACATGGTCTCAGAATTCTTTCCTTTGTGAAAAAAGGCTAGAGGAAGAGTTCTGATCATTCAGAATTGTCGGTGTGTGTGTGTGTGTCCATTCCTATCCCTGTCACTTAAGGTAACTCAACTTGGTTTGATTTTTTTTTTTAAAGTTCTTAATTCTTGAACAGATTTATGGCTTTATTATATTTAACTGTTTCCAAATAACCTAGGGATAACAGCCATGGTCATTTAAATCCTCTTTAATTCTTTGGAGGTTCTATTTTATTTATCTTAATTTTCCAGTTATCAGGAAGAAGAGACCAAAGAGTTCCAAGTTGTATTTTCATCTGTCAGTGAGCTCTGGCGTTGGGAGATGTGCGTGGTGCGTGCTTCCCTTGTGTGGTCCTCTTGTACCCAGGCTTTGATTAGAAATCTTAGGTATGGTACTACCCAGGAGTCTGGTAAGAACTGTGGGAACCAAAGTGTTCTCACTCAGAGGTGTTCATGTATGAAGAGTGACTTTTGAGTTTGCTTGTGTGATTTAAGTTTATTCAGCTGTGTCTTTGATAAACCACTTGTTACTGGTAGCTTAGACTACCCTGTGGAGCCACTAAGCCAGAAGACTGTCTTGCCTGGGGCATTTACAAGTGAATGTGAACCTGAGCCTGTGCCTGGTTACACAGAGGGAGATGGAGCTTTTCCAGCAGCCCCGGTGTATTTCCAGGGTGTGTTTGAATTAAGTCGCTGTACATCTAGACCAGAGCATTTACTACAGACTGATGGGAACCACCTGCGTCCCAGGAAAGATGTATATCATGAACTGGGCTTCAACCTGGCTCACAGGTTTCCTCTGCGTGAAACAACCTGGGTGAGATAGCTTCACCAAGTAGCCTGATGCTTCACTTTCAGAAACTGAAAGGAAATATGATGGAGGTAATAGAAACTGGACGGTCAGTAGGGTTGAGGTCAAGACTGGGATTGGGCTAATACACAATTTCACAGTGCCTGTGGCATCTCAGGGTGGAAAGAATTAGGAGAAGTGAGGCTGTTGGTTCAGAGGCAGAAGGAGAGTGTGGATAGGTGTTTGGGTAACCTCCTGGATGCCTGTAGTCCTTTTCAGGAATTAGTACACAATGGCCTTTTTATCTGTGATTTTACCTTTTCCTTAGGGTTTAATTATATCATTGCTTGTACTGTCTTCTCCATCTGAGAACTCAAGGAAGCAGTGAGGTCTCCCCAAGGTGATGCCTTTCAGGCTGCTGACTGCTTCTCTTCTCTGCTGCATTGCTGCTTCTGTGCTGCATGTGTGTTTCTACATGTACATTTTTAGTTGAATCATCACACCCTTGTCGTGAGGTGTGATGATTTTTTTCAAGAACGTTACCTAGGATCTTTGTATAAAAATCTGAAGGAAGCACAATTTTAGGATTTGCAGTGGGGTTTTAGGGAGGTGTTGTGCTTGAATCTACTGTATTCAGATAGCCTTTAGACACTACAGGCTAGAGAATTGTGAGTGGGGACCACCTGTTGGATGGTGTTGCGTGCATAGTAGGCTGTTTGTGTAGCTCTGTTTGTGACCTGTGTGCTGTGTCTGTTCTTGGCGTGGCAATACTTCAGGTGGGCTTTGGGAGATTTGCTGAATGTGATGGATATAATCCTCAATTGTGTAAGTCAGAGTGACTTGAGCATTTTTTTCTGAATCTTTATTGCTGTTTTTCTATTGGTTTGTGGCCCAGTGGGTTAGAATGATATACAGCCATAATTCATGCATTGAAGTGGTTGCTGAGGTGGGCCAGTCTTCCTGTGGAAGGATTATGCCCTCAGTTTTGTATCCATGAAGGAATCATAGATTCCTTCACAGAGGAAGGTTTCTTCTAGCCAGACCTCACTGATTTCCTCCTGGCCTTGCTGCTCGGGCTCCTCTGAAGGATGCTGGGAGGAGGTTGCATTGGAGGAACCAGAATCATTGAAATCCTTTCAAGAGAAGATAAACTCAAGGTTTTTTATGTTTATAGAATATTTATGAGAACATGTAGATGCTAAGTTTTCATTAACAGAGAAACAATTACTAGAGAAACAAATACTAGTTCTGAAATGTGTGGTGCTAAGTGGCGCTTTCTTACTTCACTAAACATGTACGGCCTGAGCACAGACTGCCTTTCTAGGAAGGTATCTTCATTTACCTCGCCGTTGCCTCACTCAGAGACAGTGGAGGTGACAGAAACTGGTCTGTCAGTGGGGTTGAAGTGAAAACCAAAACTGAGCTCAAAGCACCTCTTATGATGCCTGTGGGTAGGGCCTGATTCTGACCAAACTTCAGCTGAAGTGTCTCCAAAGAGATGTTACCCTAGACTGCCCGCTCCCAAGTCTACACCTGCAGCCTAGCAAGGCTACTAGGTCAAGATGGTGAAGCATTTCGTTCTCCCTCATAGCATTCTGTCCTGTAACCTAACTTACAGCCCCTCCAAGAAGCTCCTTCTGCAGGTAGAGTTGGGGCTTAGGGAGACTCATAGCAGGGTTCTTAAACTCCAGGAATTTGATATTGGCAAAAGCATTAGAACCAGCCAAGGAGCTCCCCTCTGAGCACCCATGAGTGTACCCAGGAACCCATGAAATGTGAAGGACAGAGCCTCAGAAAAAACCCAGCTGGGGTAGCTCTCAAGAGTGTGTTTAGAAGAGGGTTTTGAAGGGTGACATTGAACATCAATGCCCAGGTGTGCTAGTCGGCCAGCGAACTGGAGCCTACTGGTCCTAATTGACTATCAGAGCCACCTCAGGGCATTGTTAAAGCTGTCCTGCTTTGTTCTGTTGTCAGTGTTTGTTTATAAACATTACTACTACAGACCTGGGTTGGAGTCCTCTAATGGTGAAGGCAAAAAGATGGTTTGGCTGGATCATGTCACATGAGTTCAGGTCATTTTACCTGAGTTCAAATATAAAGGAGGCTTTGTAGTTTTTGGGTTTTGTTATTGTTGTTGTTTGTATTTTGTTCTTTTGAGACAGGGTATAGCCCTATCTGTCCTAGAACTCACTCTCTAGGCCACTTTGGCCTCAAACTCAGATCCACCTGCCTCTGCTTCCCAAGTGCTGGGGTTAGAGGTGTGCGCTGCTACCACCCAGTGAGGTTTTGTATTTTGAGGCAATAGCTTGGGTTCTATTTGTTACGAATTTCTCTGGATCTTGACTTTTGTTTTGACATTGGTAACCATAGCTTTCATTTAGGAAAAAATAATTCTGTGCTGTATTAGGCTTGTTTCTGCTCTGCCTATGTATGAGGTGGTTGGCATGATGGGCTATATGATAGGAATCTAACTTATCACTTGTATTGTTTTTACAGAGTAACAGTTACCCCTCGATGAGTGATCCTTACCTGCCCAGCTACTATCCACCGTCCATTGGATTTCCTTACTCCCTCAGTGAGGCACCATGGTCCACTGCAGGGGACCCTCCCATCCCATATCTTACTACCTATGGACAACTTAGTAATGGAGACCATCACTTCATGCATGATGCTGTTTTTGGACAGCCTGGGGGTCTGGGGAACAATATTTACCAGCACAGGTTTAATTTTTTCCCTGAAAACCCTGCCTTCTCAGCCTGGGGGACAAGTGGTTCTCAGGGGCAGCAGACTCAGAGCTCAGCCTATGGGAGCAGTTACACTTACCCACCAAGCTCCCTTGGTGGCACAGTTGTTGATGGGCAGACAGGTTTTCACAGTGACACCCTCAACAAGGCCCCTGGGATGAACAGTCTGGAGCAGGGCATGGTTGGCCTGAAGATTGGGGATGTTACCACCTCTGCAGTTAAGACGGTGGGTTCAGTTGTCAACAGTGTGGCACTGACTGGTGTCCTTTCTGGCAATGGTGGTACAAATGTAACCATGCCAGTTTCAAAACCAACTTCATGGGCAGCCATTGCCAGCAAGCCTGCAAAACCGCAGCCTAAGATGAAAACAAAGAGTGGGCCGATAGTGGGGGGTGCGTTGCCTCCTCCACCTATAAAACATAACATGGACATTGGTACTTGGGATAACAAGGGCCCTGTTCCAAAGGCTTCAGCCCCCCAGCAGACACCATCCCCCCAGGCTGCCCCACAGTCCCAACAGGTAGCTCAACCTCTCCCTGTTCAGCCCCCACCCTTGGTCCAGCCACAGTATCAGAGCCCTCAGCAGCCTCTTCAGCCCCGCTGGGTGGCTCCCCGAAACAGAAATGCAGCATTTGGGCAGAGTGGAGTGGCCAACAGTGACAGTAACTCTGTTGGAAATGCCCAGCCTGCTTCTGCCCCAAGTGTAGAATCCCACCCTGTCCTGGAGAAACTGAAAGCTGCCCACAGCTATAACCCTAAAGAGTTCGACTGGAATCTTAAGAGTGGGCGGGTGTTCATCATCAAGAGCTATTCTGAGGACGACATCCACCGCTCCATCAAGTACTCCATCTGGTGTAGTACGGAACATGGCAACAAGCGCCTGGACGGCGCCTTCCGCTCCATGAGCAGCAAGGGGCCTGTTTACCTGCTCTTCAGTGTCAATGGGAGTGGACATTTCTGTGGGGTAGCAGAGATGAAGTCCCCTGTGGACTATGGCACCAGTGCTGGGGTCTGGTCCCAGGACAAATGGAAGGGGAAGTTTGACGTGAAGTGGATTTTTGTCAAGGATGTGCCCAATAACCAACTGCGGCACATCAGACTTGAGAATAACGACAACAAACCTGTCACAAACTCCCGTGATACACAGGAGGTACCCTTAGAAAAAGCGAAACAAGTGCTGAAAATTATTGCTTCCTATAAGCACACAACCTCCATCTTTGATGACTTTTCTCACTATGAGAAGCGCCAAGAGGAAGAGGAGGTGGTGCGCAAGGTGAGTTGTCTGTAGGCACCTGTTAAGCAAATGTCTGTGTCTGCATGCCGGGTACCCTCACAGCAAGCTGGAGTATAACGGGCCAGTGACGTGTCCCAGCTAGCTGTCATCAGAGCAGTATGAGAGGGTACAGGTGTCATCTCTTAGCTACACATCCCTGGGATGAGTGTTAGGAGACATGGTAATCTGGACTACTGTGTGCACACCTAAGAATGCAGGGAAGCTACTTTCTAAATCATGATCTAAGTTCTTTCTAGCTCCTGTCCAGTTAAGCACTCTTAGAAATTGGTGTTCATGTGGCACCAGAGAGGCTAAGGAGACTGCCTATGTTGTAGGGATTGGCTATGCCTCAATGTCCTGCCTGCCCAAGTATTCTTGTGTGAACACTGCCACATAGGTCTTTTTCTGTTTTCCTTGTAGGGACCCCAAAGACCTGCAGTTTGGGGAAACTTAAACTCACATCATTTAAGTACTAAGAAGAATTGGGGAGGGGGGAGGTGGTGGGAATAAGGAGCAGGCTTGGGAGCCAAATGATTTATAATTAATGGTTATGATTATATGACTAGGTCCATTGGGCTGAAGATGGTCCTAACTGATGTGAGGCCATTTGCTCTTCAGAAGAGAAATGGTTTTCAGAAATGAGAGAAAAAGTCTCAAAGTGTTTTATGAAGCTTTTATTACCCAAGAGCATTGGGCTGCTGCAGAATGCCATTTCATCTTAAGAGTGAAGTGGGACACCGGGCATGGTGGCACACACCTGTAATCCCAGCACTCAGGAGGCAGAGGTAGATGGATCTCTGTGAATTCCCTGTCTCAAAAAAAGAATGAAGTAGTATAAAGAGTAAAGAGCTCCTTCCTCAGGGCTAAAATTTAGTGTCTACAAAATACTTGAGGCCCCTCCCCCCACCTTCCTACCCCCCCTACCCCCGCCAAGGTTCTCCTGACCTGAAGACAGACCTGTCTTATGTTCATTGTAAACAGTTAGACCTCGCTGCTTTAAAGTAGCATCTGGTGTGTTTAGAAAGCAAAACAATTTCACAGTTTCCCTTTCAGAGTTTTCCTGTCCAGCTATAAATGTGAAAATATGCTAATTTCTTTTTTATTTTTTGAGACATGGTTTCTCTGTGTAGCCCTGGTATACTGGAACTCACTTTGTAGATCAGGCTGGCCTTGGTTGTAATAACTTGTTCTTTTTCTTCCCCAGAAAGGTTCTCACTATATAACTCTGGCTAGTCTTGAACTCCAGAGAGCTCTACCTGCCTCTGTCTCCTAAGCACTGGGTGCTGGGCATACTGTTGTTTGTTTGGGGTTTTTTGTATTTTTGTTTTTGTTTTTTCAAAACAAGGTTTCTCGGTAGCTTTAGTGCCTGTCCTGGCACACTGGTTTTTCTTGTTGTTTTGTTTTTGAGATAGGGTCTCAGATATCTTTTTTTTTTTTCATTTAAATTTATTTTTACTTACTACATTTTACATACTTGTCTGGCGGTATGTGTAAAAGAATGGGGGGGGGGTCAGTTCACTCTTTGATCATATAGGTCTTGGGGTTTAAACCCATGTTGTCAGACTTGGCAGTATGTGTCCTAAGCCTGCTGAGCCACCTTGTCATCCCTATACAGTCTTGTTTTATTTTGTGTAATCTATAAACAGGCTTTTCTTGAGGTTTTTAGTTTTGGGTTTTTTGTTTGTTTCAAGGTAGAGTTTTCTCTGTAGCTTTGGTGCCTGTCCTGGAACTAGCTCTTGTAGACCAGGCTGGCCTCGAACTCCCAGAGATCCTCCTGACTCTGCCTCCCCAGTGCTAGGATTAAAGGCATGTGCTACCATTGCCTGGCCTCTTAGGGTGTTTAAAATAGTGACAATTGAGTGTTCTGCACAGTGCCTGCTGACTGGAGATACCTAAACTGTTCTGACCCTAGTTTGGCAGACCTCGGGGATGTGTCACATACAGTTAGCAGAGCAGCCTGGAGAACTTATGAGATCCATGCAGGCGTGTTTGCTGGGCCTCTAGGATGACCTGTCCTTCGTCTTTCAGCAGTGCTCTCCCCCCTCTCATCCCCAAAAATGTTCTATAAGTAATGTTACTTCTGTAAAGAGCAGGTGGCGGATTTTGTAGCTATTGGGAAGGCTGAAGGAGCCAGACATGGTCTCCCTCCTCCAGATGCTTTACTATAGCCCTTGCACTCAGGGGAGGCAGACTTCTGCTTAAAGAGAATTGTCCTCTTTACACTTCAGGGTAGAGGCTGATGGATTCTTAGTAGTAATCCACCCACTCATTGGTCTAGGTGCTTCCTTGCCACTTTCTTGCGATTGGAGCCACACAAAGATGTGAGACCTCGCTTAGGACTTTGCATGGTAGTCATCTCTGTGCCTGGCGTATATTTAGTGCAGTGTTGCCCAGATACACTGAATGTAGTTAGAGTGACACTACTTGTGATTTCAATGCTTAGGAGGTGTGGCTGGAGGATCAGGAGTAGTTCAGGGCCAACCTTAGGTACTTGACCCCGTCTCAAACAAAATCCAGACTGAGCAAACTATAGGTGCTTTGCTAGCAGTTTTTTCTTAGTTCACACCTAGGGTGACCATGTTAGGGACCCAACCTTTAACCTCCAGATGTAGCATTTATGCTTTTCTCCAATATCTTGCCAGTGACACATGAGAGAATGGGAATGGGGGAGCAGGAGGACAGGCAAGCAGACATGGGAGTGCTGTACAGAGGGTCTTCCGGATTAGGACAGAACGTGGTGCTTGGTATGTGGGTGGTAGTGCATGCACCACTATCTGTCATGGTCTGAATTTATTAGATGCTGCATTGTTAGAAAAGACAGATGGCCTTTTGACCCACTGATCAGAAACCAGGCAGACAAACAGCAGGAAAGAGTTGTATATAAGTCTCAGATTGGTGTGTCATGCATGCTGGGGATGAGGTGCTGTCTGTAGAAGTAGGGGTTAGCCCCGTTGAGGAATTCTATCCTGATTTGGTCAGTACTGCTGAAGGCCACAGAAAACTTGATCCTTTGGAAAGGGCTTTAACTAGATGGATCTAGCTTGTCTTCCTGTCCTTCTACTTAGCCCTAACTTGGAGCTTACTTTTTAGCCTTTTGGATAGATTTTGGAGTTTTCTGAGTCATTGGTTTGTTAAGATGAGTGAAAGTTGAGGAAAATTGTTCTTGTGTACCAGGCATGCTGGGCTTTCATCCTTCTAGTGTGTTTCTTTAGTAACGTGACTGACACATGAAGGAGAGCTGGCTAGGTTGGGGGAGGGGAAGCTTGCGTTTCATGGGTATGGGACACAGGATTGGATGCAACCTCATGCCCTCTGTGCAGAGGGCCTCTTGAGTAAGGTTAGGACAATGTGTGGTGCTTGACCATAGATGGTGGCCCCTACTCTGGTCAGTAGGACTGGGCTCCTTGGTAGTTGAGAACCAGGTCCTCAGGGATTCCCAGACAAACACACATCCCCGTCTTTGACTGCAACCTATGATGTGGCCTCAGGCCTCATCTTTGTGTGCCTTCACCTGCAAATCATGAGCTAACTTCTTCTCCTCTTCTTTTTACAGGAAAGGCAGAATCGAAACAAACAATAAGGACAAACCATTTGTTTTTGGTTAATGGTTGACTTTGAAAACAGAGTTTTAAGCTGTATGCTTGGTGCTGTCTCCGAGTCAGCTCCAGTGTCGTCCTCGTGCGGGGTTGATTGTTGCATCTTTATCTTTGTAGTTCATTTTTGCCAGATGGATCTGCATTCATTTGTATTTTTCTATGTATTATAATATTGTAGCACTCACTAATAAAGGAGTATTTTGTTTGTCAGCTTATCAGTCAGATTGACCTAATGCAAAATATAAATATTCTTCAAAACAAAACACCTAATACATCCCAAAGATACTTTTATTTTGGCAGAAATTATGTTCTTACTCTTACATCCCGCCATTTAATACCCTATAGGACACTTCATGTTTCTTGCCCTCTACTGCTTTACAGTGAACCAAGAGCCCATTCAGCATGTGCTGTTGGCGTCTCCTCACAGTACTGAAGTGGCTTGCCATTTACTACCTGTGGTGTCCATCAGAATGCTAACCTGCCCTTCTGAGTTCCCTACTAGACAGATAACGTAGTTTCCAAGTGTGCCCGCAGCTGTCTGGAGAGGCTGTCCGTAGTTCAGTGCCACCCAGAGCGGTGCTGCAGCTTTCATGAGGTTGGGGCTGTGTGGCCAGGAGCTAGGAGGTGTTTTAAGCCTGGTTCAGCATTGCGACATTCTAGTTGTTCGCGGATCATTTTTAGTCGTCCTCTTCACTTTAGAATCCTGATGCTGTCTTAAGTTTTATACCAGTAACGCTAAGCTTTAAATGTAGGATCTGATAGTACAGGCAGTGTGATGGATGCTGCTGCCAATTGTAAATTTCACTGTGTGTCTCTTTTTTTTTTTTTCCTGTTGAATGGGTGAAAAAAGCAAAAAACAAAAAATTCTTTAGAAAACAAATTTGCTATCATGTTTTGTGGAATGAGGAGCCGTGGAGGAGCTCACTGCCACCTGGAGTTGGAGTTAGCATGAAAGTGGTGCTCAATGCCCGATGCCCTCGCATACTGAATCTGCACGCGCCCAATGTAGAGGATCCTTACTGTCTTAGAGAGCAGATACCTTCTGAAACTATTTACTCCAAAAGACCCTCTCAGTTACCATTTAAGCTGTATTATTTAGACTTGTATTTAGAACGTGTCACTTCCTCGAGCTGTTACTGCCTGTACGGAGTGGACAACATCGGATACCTGTCCTCTAGGAGAATACAAGCCTTAATAAACACCTGTTGAGCAAGTTTGTGTGTTCTTGTCTTCTCTGCTGCATGTGCTTGTTTCAGTTAGAGCTGCAGACCTATGGCGTCTGCTCTGAGCAGTGGCAGCCAGAGGCTGCAGTCTTGCTCACCCCTGGGAACTTTCATAGGTCCACCTATAGGACTCAGGATTCAGTCCCCCAACCTGAGAATTTGCAGATGCTAGCAAAAGTGAAGGAAGTGTGTAGCGGCCATACTTGTAGCTTGCATAGCTGTCTCCAGGGTGATTCAACACCCTGATCTCTACTGTACCATCTTCATTCTTAATACTTTTTTTCTTTTTTGTTTTGTATTTCAAATCAGTTTTTCTGTGTAGTCCTGATTGTCCTGGCGCTCACTCTGTAGACCAGGCTGGCTTCAAACTCACAGAGATCTGCCTACTTCTGCCTCCACAATGCTGGGATTAACTGTTGAAATATAGGAGTGGCGGGGCTGCGTCCCCCGCACCTGGCCGCCCGCCCGCATGGCTAGCTCATGTCCAGAAATAATTACACGGAAACTGTATTCTTTCAAACACTGCCTGGCCCTGCTAGTTCCAGCTTCTTATTGGCTAGCTCTTACATATTGTTCTAACCCATTTCTAATATTCTGTGTAGCCCACGAGCTGGCTTACCAGGGAGGATCTTAACCTGCCTCTGTCTGGAGCGGGAGAATCATGGCGACTCCTCAACTCAGCTTCTTTCTCCCAGAATTCTGTTCTGTTTTCTCCACCCACCTAAGGGTTGGCCTATCAAATGCAAATGGGCCTAGGCAGTTTCTTTATTAATAAGAAATCACTCCCACATCAATTAACCACCACCTAGAACCTTTTTTTTGGGGGGGGGGGAGATTTTCGAGATAGCGTTTCTTTGTAGCTTTGGACCCTGTTGTGGAACTAGCTCTTGTAGACCAAGCTGGCCTCAAACTCACAGAGATTGCCTGCCTCTGCCTCCCAGGTGCTATGTTGGACAGCAAGCACTTTTACCTTCCGTGTTACTGGCCCCTTACTGTTTTAATGTTTGTTCACAGCATTTTCCTTGCAGAGGAAACTTCCAAATGAAGTCTACAAATCGAAGCTTTAGTATGGTTAACCCCCCTCCCCATTTTTTTTTCGGGGGGGGGGATGGTCTTGTGTAACCCAGCTTGGAGTTACGCTCCAATCTTGTGGTCTACGCCTCCCAGCTGCTGGGACTGTATGCTGTGCCTCCATACCAGTCTGTAGCCACTCATTTTGACTGAGATTCAGATAGAGAACCTGGGTATGGCTTCATGCTTTTCCAGACACTAGCTGTCTCTATATGGAAGGTAAAGGTTGGTAAGGAGACAATCAGCACAGGAGTCTCTGGCTTTAACTTACCTGTATTCCAGCTCCAAAACACTCCCTGTATTTTAGGAAATATCTTTTGTTTGGTTTTGTTTTGTTTTTTTTTTTTGAAACAGGGTTTCTCCTGGCACTTGCTCTGTAGACCTTGAACTTCACTTGCCTCTGTATCCTGAGTGCTGGGATTAAAGGTGTGCACCACTGCCACTCAGCAGGAAGTAGATTGTAAAGTATGTGGGGTTATAAAACCAACATCCTTTGTGGGATGACTGAAGGGGCTTCCCATGGGTGAGATGAGCAGAATCCGTGGTCACTACAGAGTGGAGGTGGTGACAGGAACTAGCTGATGGTTGGCTGAGTTTGTGTCACTTGCTCCTTTGTCCCCTTACCTTCTTGCCGTCTTATCCCCTTGTGTGGAGTCAGAGGCTACTAGGGAAGGGAACCTGAAAGCCTAGGCTTGTGCTGTGAACTTGTCATTAACACCAGCACTTTGTGAAAGACTGTTGGCATTGCTGATGCCCTTACTGTTACATTCCCAGAAGTCAGATTTAACCTGTCTCCAGTGCACACAAACCTTTGGCAAGGTGTGTTGGTTGAGGTCTGTCTCTAGACACCAGTGCTTAGAGGACCTATGGTACTGGCTATCGCGTCTGCTGCCCTTCACTGGGTGCTAGAGGGCACATGATGGACATGCTTGACTTGAGCGCATTTTTGGACCCCAGACTCTTAGCTGTCCATCTCTTGTCCCCCTTGGATTCTTGACATCCAGAATCGGTGAACTCTTCCTTCACTTAGAACAAAAATCTCTCTGGCCCAAAACACACAAGAAGGGAATTAGTTGTCACACTGCCGTGACTTCATAGGTCACTAGACCTTGCCTAGTGATAAGAGAAATGAGTGTGAAAGATGCCCCCAGACTCTGCAGCAATGTATGCAAACAAATAGTGGGGTTTTCTCTCTCACTGTGTGGTCCCATGACTGACAGTTTCTATAGCTTTTAGGAAAGGAATTTGAAAGTAATTAAGTCACACAGGTTAAATTTGTTTAAGCTAAATGAATACCCAATTCAAAGTTTCTTCAAAGCCACTAGGCTTCCTTTCACTACGGTCTTCCTTCAGCTAGTCATCCACTGAAGAGTATTACCAAGAAGAACCAGGAGGGGGCATGGGAGAGGTGCTGCACAGGCCTGCAGCCTTTCTCTCAGGGTGTAGCAATCTCAGTTCTCTTCCTAGCGTGGGGCTAGGTGCCTGAGTTGGGAAACTGATAAGCATATTTTCCATGCTGTATTGAGAGGAAGAAGTATTGAATCCAGGCTTCCAGTGGCAATGCTAAAGAGCAGCTTGAAGTGAGCTCACTGGACCTGCTTGCTTCCTATGGTGTAACCTCAGTATTTTTATGGTTAGCATTCTCCCTTCCCAAGTGTCCAACCACCCTGATCAAAAAATGGCCAACAACCACCAACACTAGAGTGGGACTCTGATGCCAGGTGTGCTGTGGATGAGCTATGTTTTGGTCACACCCCATCCTTTACAGCTCCAAGGCCTAGGGGAGGTTGAGCCTTGTGAACTCTGCTGTGTGGCAGGTTGTCTGGAGGTCTTGAGGTGCAAAAGGCTGGGGACATAGTGCAAGGCTGGCCATTTGTGTCTAGATTTAAGGAAGAGTAAGGGCATGAGATCTGGGTGGGACTCTACCGTCTGCAAGGAGCCTAGAACACAGTGGGCCTTAAACATAGCCCTGAGGTGCATGAAGCCCCCATCCCTGCTTAATGGGGACATCCTTGGGCTAGTTCCTCTGTTGGCCTCATCCCTATCCCAAGCTGTGTCTCTTCCTCACCTCTCTGGGAGCCAGAGGTGGACAACCCAGCTGTCTGGGGGGAGTTCCTGACACTGCACAGACCCAAGAGAGTTGCCTACAAGACTAACTACCCCACCAGCCTTCCTGGATTAGTCTGTTGGGGGGAACTTGCTCCAGGGTATCATGGGGAACGGCCTTAGCTGCTGGCTACTCTGAGCTTCTCGGTTATCCAGAGCGGCAGTTTGCCCATGAATGGATGGGAACGCTGGGTGAGTTGTGTGGAGCCAGCTTGCTTTGGTCTCTCCATGTTTCTCTGCCCCCTAGCTAGGGATGGCAAGAAGAGACCCTAAGTACCCTGGAAGTGTAAAGTAGCTGGAGGGAGGTTAGATCACCAGAGCCTCTGGATAAGGATCCTAGAGAAGCTTCTTCCTCCTGGTCACCACTTTTTTTTTAAATTTATTTCCTTATTATACATAGAGTGTTCTGTCTCCATGTATGCCTGCCCACCAGAAGAGGGCCCCAGATCTCATTACAGATTGCGAGCCACCATGTGGGTGCTGGGAATTGAACTCAGGACCTCTAAATGAGCAGCTGTGCTCTTAACCACTGAGTCATCTCTCCAGCCCACCACTCTTGATGGGCACGTTTGAGGAGTGGGAACTTGGGAGTGAAGAAGCTCAAAGGAGAACCTTTGGTTAGAATGTCAATTTGGAGCCCCGGGGTGGTGGCACAAGCCTTTAATCCCAGCACTTGGGAAGCAGATGCATGCAGATCTCTGTGAGTTCCAAGACAGCCAGGGCTACACAGCAAAACCCTGTTTCTAAAACCAAACCAAACAAACAAGAATGTCAATGTAGGCAAAAGGGAATGTTGCCGACTGTCCCAGT